CTAGTGTAATCTCCTCATCACTCCCGTCTTAAACCGCTTCCCATTTTTATTTAAATCGTTTAGAAATTAACCCTTATTAACTCCGCACCACACCCGCCTTATATTTGAAAACATGCATTACATTGTCGTATGAAAGTAAACAAACAGACCGCAATTCAATGAGTGGCTCCCCCCCCCCCCCTCATGAGCTTATACTCTTATAGTATTACACGCCCACATCCAGAAAGTTTTATATTTCCTCCCAGATGCGTTTTTTTCTAAATTCTGTGGGCCGCTCGCTTCGCTCGCAAGTTTGGGGAGGGGGCTGTCGGCGAGCGAAGCAAGTCGACGTGTCCAATTCAGCTGCGCAGCGAGCGAAGCGAGCAAGCTGTGGCTGGGGTCTGGGGGCAGAGCCCCCAGCGGGGTCCAGGGGCGGAGCCCCTTGGCGGGGGCTAGGGGGCGCAGCCCCCCGGAAATTTTTTGCATTAAAGAAATTTGTAGGACAGCAATAAACTGGGATTGAAAAGAATCAAGTACTCACGTAAACTTGATAACTTCACAACAGCAATCTGCATTCTCCAATCAGAATATTTCACTGTGTTCCAAAACTGACAGGATGTTCCTCTTTGATTTTTATACAATCGAAAAATTTTCTTCAAAAATTTCCTCAATTAATTTGTCTTTATTCCGAAAAAATATTTCGAAATTTAGGAGTAACTTCTCAAAAATTTCCTCTTTTTCTCCCGTTTTTCCTCCCAAAAAAGAAATTTCCTCCCAGGCTGCCTGGCAAGATGGCGTGTTTCTGGATGTGGGATTACACGCATAAACATTGTCGTATGAAAGTATGAACTCTCTCTACAGTTCAAATAGAAACTTTTCGTTTCATTGAATATATAGTGATGGAATAAGAGAGAGTGAGGAGGGAGAAAAAGTGAGCCATTTCATGTCACATTTTTTGTACAAAACCATCAATTAAACCACTTACCTCCAACCGATTTGAAAAACCTTTACCATTTAACTTCGTCAGAGTTTTGTCGGCACTTTACCGAAAAAATCAGCCCCGTTTATTTCATTTCGGGAACTGAAAATGGTTACATTGTTTTCTAAATTCAAAACTGGCACAGTGACAGTTATTAGGTGATCGTGGATCGCTTGGCCTGAAAAATTTTTTTATTGCAATTAAGCACTTTTGTCAAAACGAGCATGTTTTCTCACAAATGTGCTTCAAAGCCATCACACTTTTAATTAAATGTCAATTCTGTCGACTGAAGCTAGATATAAACGATACTTACAAAGCTAAATTTTCATGACGATGATGAAACCTCGTCATAAGTCTCAAAAGTAGACAAGACACCCTAGAAAACATAGTGGGTGCAGTTTAAATTTGACAGCAGCTAGCCCAGAGAAATTACAAAATTGAAATCTTGCAAAAGTCAATTTGCACAAAATGAACCTTAGTGTACTTTTGTCCTTAGCGCACTTTTGTCAGAAAACGGCAGCTTAATTGTGATTAGTTGGTAATAAATTAGTTTTGGATGGATATTCTACAATTACACTGCGAGAGATGTAAGATTCGATGGAATAACAATGAGTTCATATTTTAAATTTGTTTTCGAAGATTTTTTGTTGGGAATTTGTGGTCGTGGTCCACGACTCGTAGATGATGGTAATTGATAATAATTCACAGAAACCAACTGAATTATATACCACATTTTAATCATAAGCGTTTATTTCATATTGAACAACGCAACGTTACAATTAATATTAGTTGTAACTAATTGCATCTCAGACACCACCCATATGATCTATTTATTATCATGTCATAATACCAGTCAGCGGATTGGTATGCGGCATAATATAATCTGCTTACCATCATGTCACAAATAGTGTCACAAGTAGTCCATGGTGAACGGACTAGTCTACAGACTGATTCGGGCTTCTTGGATAATGCCCATAAACCTTTAGGCTATTCATTTTCCTTTAAATGTCTGTATAAAGTATTATACAAAAGAATTAACTTAACGGGAAAGGACTGGCCACAACCAGGAGCTGAAACTTGGCACATGTGTTCTTTGGGGTGTCATGCAAAAACATTATGTTTTAGAATTTAGATATTTGTCCTTGAAATATGAGGTTAACAAAATGGCAAAATGTGATTTTTTTCTTCTTGTTTTTCTCCAGCAGCTCTGTAATGTAATTCCTCAGGATATGATTAATGAAAGTTATGACATCCTACTCATCAGTACTGTTAGAAACCAAAAAGTTATTTTTTGAGTCTACGCAGCGGGCAACAGTTATAAGATCAGCCCATATGCGACCATTGCAAGATATCTGTCCATACTACTCAGTAACTGAAAGGTTGAATATCCCTATTTTTGAACAATTGTGGGAATGCCTGAATCATGTCAAGGAAATAGTGTGTGCTGCTGACAAAGAACTTACGATTCCCAACAAAACACCTAATATTATTGCTAAAATGTGGAATAGTTCAATTAAAAGTATCTCACCCCTCCCTGGGAGTGCAGATGAAATGGGTTCCTATTGGTTTGTTTGGTGCAACGATCTTCTTATTGAATTACTCCAGTTGTTGATTCCATATGAGATACCTTATACTGCTTGGACATGCATCATCTTTCATCTCACTGATACTGATACATGCCGTACATACTCTGATGAACTGCTCAGAACCAACTTAGGAGCCATTTCTAGTGACAAAAAATCACAAATTATTGAAAGAATGTTTATTAGAGAATGCATCTTAAAGTCTGTCGATTTAACTAATTGTTTATATCGAATTTTACACCAAGAACTGTCACATAGAACAGTCAGATTGATGAAATGGAGATTGCCTTTGCTTTTAGACAGGTTCAACCGCTCTATGAAGTATTTGGTATGCTTTCTGTGTTCGTCTGAACCATCTCCAAGATGTATCAACTATTATATACAAAAGCCATTCACATTTTTTATAAGTGACTGCTTTGATATACTACCTGGGCTAAAAGAGCACTATGAAGCAAACATATTTAAGATGGTAGGTGCTAGCACTGGCTATCAAAACAGATCCAAGTTTTTCACTATGTTCATACCTGACTGTAAGGAATCAGGTGAAACATACTTGTACCATCTTCTGTGTATTGATAAAAACTGTACAGACAATGAAGAAAATACTTCAAGTTTAAAAGTTTTTTCAGAAGCCTTAAGTGCAAAAAAACCACCTATTATATTAAGTTGTGAGGGTCTGGTTGCTGGAATCGGTTTTGAGGACTGTCCTAATGAGACTCAAAAACATTTGGCTGTTTGGGATGTTTCTAATGGAGACTTTGGAAGGAGACTATTTTCTTCAAGTTTTGCAAATATTACAAATTCATGGAAAGAAATTGATCTTGGAATCAATTCAACGTTCTTCTCGAATGAGCATGTTAAGTGTTAACATATCTGGTATGGCAAAATTCGATAAAACAATAAAGCTGATGTTTTCTTTAGCGCCCATCTGTCCTGAAGTCTGTGAACAATTGCCCTCTTGTATTATTGCTGAGTATTACTTGGATGAATGTCCAGAAGAGTTTTCATCTTCAAAGTCAAACCTACAAAAATCTTACTTCAAGAATGCTATACCAATGGGATTACATAAAAATATGGCGTTTGTAATGCATCTAACAACAGATATGCTGTGTGCATATGATATTGAACGAGGAGATGAGGTTGTAATCAGCAAATCATGGCTTGAAAGTGGGAAAGATTGGAAAATATTGTTTAATAGCAATCCTGAAATGAATTCATGCATTGTGTACAAAAACAATAATTTTCAAACCAGACAACTTGATGGAGAATTGACTCTAGTGAATGAATTTACCCTTGATTTGGACCATTTTTCGCAAACCAATGGCAATAACAGTTTTGAGTTTCAGTTTTATGACAACATATTGTATGGTTTTTTAAATAACCAAGAAAATCTGCAAGAAACTGAAAATGAAATGCATGAATCATCTTTACCTGAAAAACATGAAAAGTGTGCTGCTTTTTTAAATAGGAGGTTTGCTGATGCACATATGGTTCACTTATTAGTTGACTTAGATGGTGATGAGAAAGAAATTGTTTACCTTGATTTTGATCCCAAAGATGACGATTACATTGATAAAGAGGTACAATTTTGTCTCACTGGATTCAACAGCAATGGAGAACTTGCCCAATTACGCATGTCTCAAGAAATCTATGATGGAATTGATATCAATGATTTTAAAGAAGGATCTATGACATTTTCGACTGTTAAATTTATTGAGTGCTTCGAAGACACGATTAATTTCATGTTGCCCAATGCTGAGAAAGTTGAAGAGCAAAGGAAGCAACAGATCATGTTTACTTCTTAATGAACAGCTATGATTTACAGAATTGACTTGTGAACTCTAACCCAGATCTAGCCCATTTCTGTGTCAATTATATTCAATCCATGGATCACATCACTAATTGTACGTCACTAATTGGTGACGTGATTTGACCCCTCTTGGGGGCCGGAACAGTTTTCTGACCCAAAGTCTCCCAGTGGGAATTGATATCAATGATTTTAAAGAAGGATCTATGACATTTTCGACTGTTAAATTTATTGAGTGCTCCTTTAAATATCAAATTGATTTATTGTAAACTTGTTTAACTGAAAAAAGGGTAGGAGTAATTACCCGCTGATTCAAAACCCGCATTAGGTGAGCAATTCTATTCGGAGTGCCCTCTCTAATCCAATAGTATCTTAAACAATAATCTCATAATCAGTTCTTTCTCGTGGATAATTAAGTCATTATTAGGCACCACATTCCATGATCATAAGGTCCGAACACCGACTATTACACCTCATCACTCCCGTCTTGAACCGCTTTCCATTTTTATTTAAATCGTTTTAGAAATTAACCCTTGTTAACTCATAATATTATTACATTGGGTACATTCAACATCAAAATATAACAAGTAAACAATCCAACATTTACCTGTTAACGAATAGTAATGCATTTTGAATAAACAATTCATTATTTAGGATGTTAAGGACATTGCACAAGGGTTTGAGCCAGCAGCCCATCAGACAGGCTAGATATCTATCTGAAGTTGCTGCGGATGTCCCTCACAGCAAAGACAAAACTGAACTTAGTCACGTATGAAATTATATTATTTCATTATTTAAGTATAAATATTATTCTCATGAAAATGGCACATGCAAGCTTTTGTTCTGATATGGAATAACTTAGAACATGTTATTTTCCAGGCAAGCGATTTACCAACGCATGCTGAAGTGGTTGTAATTGGTGGGGGATCCATTGGAAATTCTACTCTGTACCATTTGGGAAAAAAGGGAGTTAAAGGACTGCTGCTTGAAAAAGACCAACTTACTGCAGGTGAGATATTGCTGTGACTTTCACCATGTCATCTTGCAAATTATTAATCTTTAATTTTCTGAAATACAAGTAACATGATTGTTTAAAATTGGCTATGTAATGATTGTGGTGCCTTATACCTAAATGCCATGTTAATTTTCATGACGGTCATCATCAATTTACAAATTTCCTCAGTGTTATTTTTCTGTTCGAATAACACATACAACAGAACTAAGAAATGATATTTTCCAAGAACCACGAAAATTATGAAAACCAAGGCATAATTTTCAATTGTTTAGCATCATAAAACATCTAAAATTCCAAATTGTTGCATAACATTGATGAGTGGCAGTATGGTTGGATTTTGGAAGTTGATAAATAGCCGGGCCGTCCCATGTCAGGGGAAAGAAAACCTCCGAGAAATTAGGTTTAGATCTTGTGTTTTGTGGTAAACTCTGAGTATTTATTTTAAGCCGCTGTATGATGTTTGATTTGTCTAACAATGATAATTCCAGTTGGTATCATATACTATTTAATTTCTTAAAATAGAAAAACCTTCTTTTTTTTTCAAATTGATTCCTTGAATCATGCGTCGCTTTTTACCTTTGAATCAAGCTAAGTCTAAGTATGACCGAGCTGAAACCGCAATAATGTTCCATGAAGCCACATGCTTATTTTTATCATATTATAAGTCATATTGAATTATACATTATGCATGATGAATGTGTTTGTGTAATAACGAGCTGACTCTGCACAATGCACATGTACAACACGAGCCAAGAAGTGAAACATTCAGCTCTCATTTTCAAGAATACAGATTCTATTATATTTCGTCTGCCCCAAGATTTATCATTGCTAAATGAAGGTGTTTTGGTCTTTTAAACGTACATATGATATTAAATTCTATATTATAATAATTTTATTGGATTGTGATGTTAACTTTTAAGTTAACATCACAATCCAATGTCAAAATTTGACCTGAAAAATGTTGTTCCCAGCAATTGTTTTTATTTTCTGTGAATAAATCAATGGCTTGAACCACAGCCCAAAAATTACTTGGTTTCAAGTTTGACTGTTAAATTTCTGATTAAATTGCACAACCTGGAGCTACTTTTTAATAATCTTTGGACGATGCCGTCACAGCTACTCTCTCCAAACAGTGTGAATTAATAAAACCACACGAGAGACACGTTCGTCGTTAAAATTCATCTTTTGAGGTTGAAATTCTGGAACTATTAATAATTGCCCTACCGAAGGTATGGAACAGGGTATCAAACACCACAATCACATGAAAAAAGGCACTAAAACACGATGTACTCTGTTAAGACCTGCTCCAGGGATTCAATGAGCCAATGACTTTGTTCAGTACGAGTTTTTTGGTGTTGCCATCATTTTAAATCACAGTGAAATAGTGAGGCTGCTTCAATATTAACTTATTTTTCATGATGATAGTTTGAATTCACTTTTCTACTTTTCTAGTGATAAAATGGAAGATGATTTCAATCTTTGTTTAATTTTCTTCATCTTTTTCCCTGAGAATTTATAACATTCAGTACGATGAATCAAATTTTAGAAATTCATGTTATTACTACTGTACAACCTGTAGATATTTAATCCAACAATATGAAGATCTTCGCTGTGGCTGTCTTGGTGCTCTTTGCCGTTGTCTCAGGTAACGTTCATATAATTTGTAACCTTATAAAATTAAAAATAGATATCATTCAGTAAATCAAGGATAGAAAGACATATTAGAAAGAGAATAACACATCCTATCCAGGCTTCAATACTGATTGAATTCTTGTTAACCTTTTAAATAACACAAATCTATTAGCTAAATAAATTCAAATTCAAAGCCTTTTTCAGGAGAAGATTGTGTAGATAAAGTGAAAACCGAATTCTGTGAGAAATACATTGCGCAGAAGGGAGAATGTGACCCGTATGCAAGCAAGAATTGTCGTCTTACATGCGGTATTTGTAAACAAGGTCAGTCAAACATTTCTTTATCGTCCAGCTGATTATAAGTTTACATTAGATAGAGAAATATGACCATTTAATCAATAATATTTCAGAAGTATCGTCCATATTTATCAGAATCCTATTTTCAGATGTCTGCGAGGACGTTCAGGCTGAAGTAATCTGCAAAACTTTCATTGCCCAGATCGGCGGAAGTTGCGTTGGAAATAACTATGTGCTTGCAAATTGTGCTAAGAGCTGTGGAGCTTGTTAATCGAGGAGTACAAAAAGCTGTGGATGGTCACTCAATTTAAAATAATATAGAATTTGGATAGTAGCCGATTATTATTTTCTTTTCTTGAGGAATTATTTTTGATTTTATATAGGTGTTAGCTTTGTCACGTGTACGATTTTCATTTTTTGTTCTTGCCTGATTCACTGATTCAGCCGGTTGTATTCTTTCTCTTCAAATCAAAATAGATATTATAGCATATACGATAAAATAAACTTGATAACTGTAACATGGCAACAGAAACTAAAACAATAATATTCACTTTAACTCTGAAAATAAAGCACAACATATCCTGCTCATGCAACTTAACTTTATCTAAAATTATCACGAGAGCCGGGTTTCTAAATTTCTGATACAAGTTAAACACTATTCTTGGAAGTTACATCAAGTGTGCGTGTTACTGTCGAAGCGGAAACTTATGGAAAATTTATTCGGGAGATACATAACTCGATTACACGCATCCAGAACACAAAGATCTAATCTTGACAAATAACATAATTTGTATATTTTAAATATCCAAAAGCTGTTCAAGCCTTGACATGAATCTGTCGATAAAGTCTCGTACACATGGATACAAGGATACAAAAATTATAATTTATTGAATTCACAATAGTGATAATCCTGAAATTATTTACACATATTGAGCAAGTTATGGCCGCAAAAAGTTATGGTCCCTTCAAAATCAAAATCAACAATAAATTGTAACTTGAAATAGTAGAAACCCTAATAGTAATTTTAGCCTTGTCTCTACTCTGTACGGTCCTGACTATCTTATTGTTCCTAATGCTATGAAACTTGTTCTGACAGGATATAGGATAGTGCAAATTCTCTATATATATGTTGCATGAATTACAATTCTGTCCACGATATGTAAAGCGAGCAGACAAAGACACAGGCTAGCACGTCTTATCGTAAGTTACAAAAAGATAAGAGAGCTCGATAATTGCAACGTAAACTACACAAACGTGTAGCCACTATTTTATCACGTGACTCCATGAGGCCTTCACGTGATTTTTAAGGTACAACGTGACACCATGACTCCATGAGGCCTTCACGTGATTTTTACAGGTACCACGTGACACCATGACTCTATGAGGCCTTCACGTGACTTTTACAGGTACCACGTGACACCATGACTCTATGAGGCCTTCACGTGACTTTTACAGGTACCACGTGACACCATGACTCTATGAGGCCTTCACGTGATTTTTTCCTTTTCACCCTTTTGAAAAAAGGCAATAGTGAAAGGTTACGAATGGAGGTTTTTGCAGAAAAACGTGGATTTTGGAGATAGCAGTAGGTGGGTCAAATATATGTCGTGTTCCTTGCTTGCTTGCTTCCGTTCGTTACCAAGCAACGAAAAAGTCGCGCGCGCGCGAGGATTGTTTGCGGAGATGTGATGTATAGATAGCCTGTGATCTATGAATGCGCGGCGCGACTGTGTTTTATTGTATACGATGCATGTAATGTATAATATTACTATTACATATTAGGTAATACGCCCAATTTGTACGTGGCACGCGTAGTGTATTGATGTGTACACGAGTATAGTTTACCTTTGCTGATAATTTCTTGAATTACAGATACAAGTTAAGTTCTACGGCAATTGAACTGAATTTGTCCCTATTTGATGCATAATTTATCTATATTATTATCATGAAGATTGAAGTGAGCTGATTGGAGCTTATACTTAAATTTATAGTAAATGTGAAATGGAAATCTAGCGTCCGCCAAAACGAAACAACGGGCGCAATTCTTGTTACAGGTACCACGTGACACCATGACTCCACGTGATTTTTACAGGTACCACGTGACACCATGACTCCATCACGTGATATTTACAGGTACCACGTGGCACAGTGCTGGACTGATTTGGAGTCTCCGTCCAAATGATACTGACTCAAATGTTATCGGTCATACCCTCGATCTGGTGAGGTCTGGAGGTGAAATTGAACAGTTGACTGGTTAGTGATTTATAATCATATCAATTTCTTCTTATTTTGATCACACCTCTCTTTCTTTCTTGTCGTAACGAAATTCATTAATTTTGTTCATAGTACCCGTCTCCAATCTCGTATAGAAAACTGATCCAAGTTTGTCACGAATCTCTGTCGCGAAAAAAAGGCGGAAATATCATTATATGTGTCCAATTGGACAGTGTCAGTATTCACCAATTTAACGACAATGTAGCAACATTTCCACAACATTATTTTAACACAATAATCTGGTCTACAGGAATGGATTGCGGGTTTAACAACAACGGTGGAATATTTGTTGCAAATAACAAGGAGCGGTTTGATGAGTATAGACGACTGAAGACGGTAAGTGGGGAGGGGGTGCACGTCTGTACACTTTGTTATACTGTATAAGGATGGGTAGTGTTTCCTGGGCCACCCTGTATAATATAATCAAGAAGTTAACGTACCTTTAGGACACGGCAAATACATTTGTTTAAAATAAATCATCGCATTTTGTGACGCGTAAAACGGGGTAAAACTCGCGATCCCGCGGCTATATTGAGAAAGTGAAAGTCCAGTTGAGCGTGTACTGTGTAGGGGGATTAGGACTCTTCTAAATCAACATTATACATATACCTTCTGTTACATCCTCAATAAATCTAATAGATTTGTAGTGTTGTAACTTGTAATTAGTTTAAATCCACTCGACACAGAGGGTCAGGAGACTGTTAGGTTCAAATTTCAATATCATACAATATTATGGTGCAAGTGATACTAATTGAGTAATTTCATATCTTGCTCATAGACATAATCGAATTTAGGCAATTTACGTTTAAATTTATCTTCCTCAAGTCTCGAAATCAACTGATTCAATACCACTGTTCTACAGTTTGGAAAATATCTGGACGTTGACACGTACGTGCTAAGTCCATCAGAGACGAAGGACTTGTACCCGCTCATGAACGTGGACGATGTTTACGCTACACTTTATAGTCCAGGTATGTACGTGTTTTTATGTGCTCGTATGAGTTACTGAACTGTGTGTATCTTTTCCAATAAAGAGCTCTACGGTAGTCTCTGCTAAGATTAGATAAATTTGGACCGAATACGAATGTGTGTGTACAGGTACTGTGTAGTACTTTAACTGAATTACAATTTAATATCGCAATTCAATTATTATTCAATTCAATTTTGTAGCTCTAGTACGAAGTGAAAAATGTCATGTCACACATGAAACTTATTGTTGAATAGATTCGTTCTGTCACTTTCTAACAATTGATTTATTGATTATAATAATGTTCAGCGGACGGTTGTTTGGACCCCTCCACGTACGTGAGCGCGCTGTCACGTGCAGGAACCATGCTGGGCGGCCAGATTGTCACTGAAACTACTGTCACTGGTGAGTGGGAGTCATAACATCATGGGTAGACAAATCTTAACCTTGTGCAAGAGCAATTCTAACTGCACAGTGCACATCCACATTTCTTTGAACAAACTGATATGAATCCTATCTGCACACAATTGTATGTTTTCTGCACACTAAATTTTTCTAAAGGCATGCATAACAGAGAACAGTACACAGCAGGATAGGTTATAGCTGTTGATTTAAAAACTCTAATAATCGTAATTACTTTGTTCGCTAATTGTGATTCATTCTTAAGTTATTAATTATTTGTTTAAATATAACTAAAACTAAATTGATTCGAATGTCAGGTATCGAAACTGAAACAACTAGAGGTAGAAAAAGGGTGACTGGAGTACAGACAAACAAAGGGCTGATCAAAACGGAAAAGGTGATATTATCAGAATACAGCGATTATCGCCGCTTTGTTAAAATGTCGTTTCAAACGGCAAATGTCATCTTAATCTTAAAGATTGCATCTTTAATTATTTCCATCTCTAATTTTGTTAAATTTTTACCTCGCATAATTTTACAGAAACCTTTAAAGCTTTAATGATTAATAAACTGCAGATTTAATAGTCTTATTATCTCTACAGGTTATAAATTGTACGGGTGCTTGGGGTCCTTATATATCTGAAATGGCAGGAGTTGATTGTCCTCTAGTTCCGTTCAGACACGCGTACGTGGTCACTGAAGACATCGAAGGTATGCACTTGCCGTTGCACTTGCACTTGCACTTGCACTTGCACTTGCACTTGCACTTGCACTTGCACTTGCACTTGCACTTGCACTTGCACTTGCACTTGCACTTGCACTTGCACTTGCACTTGCACTTGCACTTGCACTTGCACTTGCACTTGCACTTGCACTTGCACTTGCACTTGCACTTGCACTTGCACTTGCACTTTTATATTTAATTACATTACACGAATATTTTTATCTTTCGTATTTCGTGCCGCTAATTAAATACTGTCTTTATTTTTTCTCAAATATTTAAAAAATATGTTATTTAAGACTAAGTTGAGTAGGTTAATTAGTGAATTCCCCCAGGGATTGTTTCTTACATATTTGAATAAAACACCTTGCATTTAACTGATAAGTGAAAACCCCAAGGGATTGAGAACATGCCGAATGTTCGAGATCACGACCTGTCAGCTTACTTACGTCTGCAAGGGAACGGGCTAAGTGTCGGAGGTTACGAGCCCCATCCTGATCTTCTACCTGACGTTAGTAAATAAGTTCTAGATCAGTTCTAAATCTGTATCAGTTCTAGATCAGTTATAGATCAGTTCTAGATCAGTTATAGATCAGTTCTAGATCAGTTCTAGATCAGTTATAGATAAGTTCTATATCAGTTCTGGATCAGTTCTGGCTCAGTTCTGGATCAGTTCTGGATCAGTTCTGGATCAGTTCTGGATCAGTTCTGGATCAGTTCACGCCTTCATTTTTGTGCTGTTCAGCAAGGAATTGGGCAACATATAATACAAAAATAAAACCATGAAAGTAGCCTTATCTATTCTTCCTTTAAAGGGTGTAGCGAAAGACTTTGCGTTTGGTTTGTACGAGTTAGATTGGGACACATTCGGCTTCAACATAGAAGCATGTATAAAGCGTGTGCCGATTATCGAGTACACGGGGCTGAAGAGCACAGTATGTGGTCCTGGTATGTTATTTTAGGATTCCTAAGGGGTTTCCTGACTCATTCTTGGGCAGGAACTGCGCAGAATTGTTTGGATTCTCATATTTCAAATGTAGATCATCTCTACAGATATGAATTTGCCTTGGCTGAAATGTAAAATTTGTTCCGATCTAAATTTATTTTGGAAAGAGACGTCTTTATAGAGTGCTATCTTTCACAGAATCGTTTACGCCGGACCATAAGCCCTTACTTGGAGAATCGTTAGATTGTCGTGGATTCTATCAGGGCTGTGGGTTTAACTCATCAGGTATTTAGAAATAATGATAACATTTTATAGGGAGCAATACATATTTTCACAACTACAATTAAATACATTTTATATCTAGTATTATGGTAATGGGATGGAAGCTTTTTATCCAGGTGTAACTAGTCTAATCACTGGCTCCATAATATGAAGAATGTGTTTCAATTCTAGATGAAATGCTCGAATAATGTGTACAGTGTACACGTATTTACATTTATGTACATGTTTATAGCATGTATTTAATAATATATAGGACGCAGCTCTATTTCCTGCATACACCTCCATTTTCACATTCTAGAGTAAACCATTACAAAAACATTATTCACCGCATACATTCAAATACAATAACAACGAAATAGATTTTCTTCAATCTACTTGCTGATCTAACAAACTGTACAGGTATAATGTTGGCGGGAGGCTGTGGTCGTGAGTTAGCGAACATGGCTGTGGAGGGTACCACTTCCATTGACATGTTCGGGTACGATGTAAACAGGTATCATCCGGACTGTACCAAGAACAAGGCTTGGGTGTTGGGTGAGTTGCAATTAATTCTATCTGGGAGAAAATCCGGGTAAACCAGATTCGTTCGTTCCTAGTAACCTTTATAATTCGATTCAATTCAATGATTTAAACTCTATTCTTGGGTGGTTATCGCTGCTTTAATTATTAAGGCACATTAATCACATTACCAGATTATTATTATAAGATTACGAGATGTAGTAATTAAATTAAACTCAAGTTGTTCATTATTATAACTGTTATAAGTTGTATTAATTCAGCGAGATCACATGAAGCGTATGTTAAAAACTACGCGATGGTATTTATCCACGACGAGAACCTGGCGATGCGCGATATGAGAACGGACGTGTTACACGAAACTGTAAGTCTTGGTAGCATGTAGTAATACAGTAGAAAATGTAAAAAATGTAGAAAATGTAGAAATGTAGAAAATGTAGAAAATATAGAACATGTAGTTTCGATTTAACTCATGCAGTTGGCGTCGTCTACGAATCTGAAAATCTTTAACTGGTGTATCAAAATAAAAAGTAAAACCAATCAAGACTACTCATTGATCATTCCATATTCTGACGTTACGATCAGTCGATAATTTCCACAATTTTTAGTTGCTATCGAGGGGATGTGTTTATCAACAACGACAAGGTCATGAGAGGCCTGGTTACTTCGCTATTCACAAGGATTCGGTTAGTTTGCTAATTTAACAATAAAAACTTTAAATAAATAAAGCTAATCATATTATTTTTGCGATTTAAAAAAAACATTCGATCTTGATATTGGTAATCTAATTTGAACGATTCTTATGTTTGATCTGACACAAATATGTACCGATAAACTGCTGTAGTGCTGTATATAAAATTTGACTTTATTTATTTATATTTATTATCTAATTTTGTCTAAACTCGTATTGAACTCTATTCTAACTCTCAGGTTAACGAGAAGCTTGATTATGATTGGTACGGTTCGTACGGTAACGAAGTTCATCCTGAATACCCTTACAGGTTACACGGTTATCTAATTATTTTCTTATCTAACACCGTCAAATCACTCATGTATAATTAAATAGATTAACAATCGTCAAAAAGTTGAGTCTTTAGAGGACAACATGTAAATTGTTTAAAAAAAACCAGGTACTCAACTATAGTTAGAAGTTTCTAGATAGACCTGGTCCACCAAACGCTTGCGATTACTTTATCGTATTATTCGTACTACATTTTATTCATTTTATTATTATTAATTCGAGTACCACTAACAGAGATCGGTTGGGCGAAGAGTACACCTTTGGTTATCCCCAGCATTTTGATGTTATCGGAGCTGAGTCACATGCTTGTCGTGAGCGAGCAGCTCTCTTCAACATGAGCTATTTTGGGAAATTCTTTTTGACCGGTCCAGACGCTCAGGTGCGATTATTGCAGCGAATAGAATGCAAATTATGCGAATTATGTAAATATGACTTACTTTACTCTGTAAGGTGGGTCATAATGTTGTTAAGATAATTTTGGGAATATTAATCAAGTTAATATTAAGGTTCCTACTTAACTGTTCGTTAACTTCATTAACATAAGCAGCTTTTATCACACTTTTACAAATAAACTGAAAGACCGGCCCTAAAATTACAATTTAAAATAATGGAGTTATGGATTGCGCCGTAACAATTGTTATCTCAAGTTTAAACAAATTTTTGTTGATTTTTGTTGAGAAAACTTGCCTCATGGGTCCAAGATTCGACTACACAGTTTAAACATATTAATTATTATATAGTATACCATCATTTAGAAAATGACTGTCTAGTTATAATATAACTTTCGGATGGTTAATACATTTTTCCTGTGGTAATGTAATCATAATACGACAAATTCTTGATCAATAATCTCAAAAATCGTTTCTCACGAATGAATGAGATTACTCAGATAAAACCAAGCCTAATTAACCATTTAACTTTATCACATCAAGGCTGTGGTTAACCTACTTACATCCAAGCTGTGGCACCAAATTTTCTCCAGAATGTCTTCGCAAATTATCTGCTGAACTTTATCTGCCGTCTTTCTGGATGTGGGCTTTGTTAACTATTTACTTACCTTCCAGGCTGTTGTTGATTACCTCTGCTGCTCTAACATAAACAAAGGACCCGGAGGGACGGTGTACACCAACATGCTCAACAAGAACGGGGGTTCTGAAAGTGACCTCACAGTCTCACACATAGAACCGTGTCCAGAGTACGTATTAGAGATTTATCTGGGGCCGGGCCGCCGGGGGGGGGGGGGGGGGATCTTTATTGCTTTTCTGAAATTGTGTTCTGGTCTTTTACTATTTACATGATATTCAGTCTCGTCTTGAGGCTGAAATCTAATATCTTTACAAAAAGAACACTTTCCACTTGACACGGTGACACGTCTATGTTGTCACATTACATGCCCTTAATCAACAAAACTCCATTGTTCCGATAGTAACTCCCTTGTAATAATCGCACACTGCTCCCATTTTAACTATCCTGTGTCCACTTCTTCGTCACTAAATTCCCATTTTCCCAGGACAGGGCATGACAGGTTCTACGTAGCCTGTGGAGGGGGATCCTCCTACAGGGACATGGGCCACATTCTCAACGTTATTGACGATAAGAAGTTTGATTGTTCTGTTGCCGGTACGTATAACACGCTTTAAAGTTAAAAAGTTGAAAATTTCGAAGTTCAAATTTAGTGCCCGGATCTCATTATTCTCATGTGGCTCGTTAAAATCACGCGTGATGGTGTAATGCGATGGCGTGACGTCATGATTGTGTAGGTTTCGTGCGCTTCCACTTTCACTTACCCCTTTATTTCAGATCACAGCTCAGATTATGGTATGCTCAGTCTACAGGGACCCAAAAGTAGAGCAATCCTGGAGAGTATCTGTGACAATGATTTGTCAAACGAGGCGTTCCCCTTCTCATCACATCAGCTCACCACTATTGGTGGCCACGAGGTAAGGATCATTGGTTATTATTTAGTTATACGTATTATAATAGTTATTATTTCAGTTTCTTAACTTGTTTTACGAGAATTCCTCCTATTTTTCGGCACAAAACCACGTGATTTCGGCACCACGTGACATGACATCACCCTAACACCACGTGACATCACCCCAACACCAGTACCACGTGACATCACCACAACACCACGTGACGTCACCACCCCCAGGTTCGCCTGATGAGGTTGACGTTTGTGGGAGAGCTAGGCTGGGAGTTGCACATTCCTTCAGACGCCCTAGTGGACGTGTACAACACAGTGATGGCTGCTGGAGAACCTCACGGTATTGTGGACTCTGGTTACCGTGCTATTGATTCACTCAGCTCTGAGAAAGGTTACACTATTTTTACTGCTATTCAATGATGCGTCGTAAAACATTGTGAAGATATGTTTTGCTAATGATAATATGATATCGATCTTATAATGAGATAAGACATATCTTAAATGTTTCTGGCAGAAAGCCATGGTATTTGTACGGCAAGTCCTAAATCCTAAGGAATTCCTTTTATCAGGGTACAAACATTGGCACGAGGATGTACGACCTGACACGACCCCATTGGAGGCAGGCATGGCCTGGTTGGTTAACTCCAAACTCAAGACTGGTGTTGATTTCTTGGGACGAGATGCTCTGTTGGCTCAGAAGAAATCCGGGATTAAGAAACGTCTTGTGTGCCTTAAGGTCGAGAGGTAAAACTACTACCTCTTAAATTATTACTTTGTAATTACTAACTAAGTAATTCCGCATAATTCTTCATCTTCACCGAATGATCTTGTTTCTTCGAACCAAAAAATTTAATTCAAACCGCACCCTCAGCCATGTTGACGAGGCGTCAGTCTACTTTAAATAAGTGCACTGGAGCTTATTCTCTTATTGGATATTTTATGCAAAGCTTTTAAAACCGAGCATAATCTTCTTAATCCTTAATCGATGTGATGATTGAGTCATTTACGCAATGATCTTTTACTGATGTGACCACCAGCAAGCTGAAATGATACAAAGTTAGTGGCTCGTCCCTCGGGATACAGTATAAGTTGGTATTTGATTCAGAATTTCCTATTCCTCATCAAACATTTAACATAACTTATCTCATAAAAGGTTTCATGCTTTGTGATAGGTAGTTACTAATTACTAGCTCAAGCTACGAATATTCATAACTTTGGTTGTGATTGATGTTTTTGATGCGGTAAAAAGTATAGGTAAGGGAGTACTTGGAACTTTGTTGTCATTGTCAAATAAAAATCCATACTTTTTACCGTGCGGAGCTAGATGTTGAAGAGAAATTAAGATATATAACTGATTTTAAATTTCTTTTAATATAGCTGTATTTCCACAAGCGGGTTTCTAGTAATACTATAATATTATATTCGAGTAGATATCAGGAAGAAGATCTGCTAAATTACCGTTAAAAACATAAGGATTCATTTTTGGGCTTTTACATAACATTTCTTCAGCACTTCAGTTATAGTATTACCATAAACGGTCGAAGTTGACTTATTTAAAGTGTGAAATAATGATCATTATTCGCATTCACCCTAATAAATACGAAGAATAACCATTAAATCTTAAAAGTCATATTTACAAAACATAACATTAATATTTTAATAATGACTTAAGATGGTAATGGTAAAATGAAACTTTAATTTACCTGGACAGCAGAATTCAGGTTGACAAGCCTGAGACTCAGAGCTGAGTCCCTGACAATTTGTGTCCGGACAGGTTCTGCTCCTAGTCCGAGTTTCTCCTCCATTAAAAGAAGAACACTCAGACCACTCCCCAAAGTTGCTCCATCCACCACTAAGGTCGCTCCATTGACCACCTTCTTCTTCTTCGTAGGGGGCTGTGGTCAATATCACTAATGGTAAGATCGTGACCACTGTAAGACCATTCTCTTCGGCCGTGTCTATGATAGGGATTTTATGTTATTTTAAACCAAATATTTTAATACTATACTTAATTGCCGTCATAATATGATAGCAATATTTTTAGCTCTGAAACCTCCTGCGTCCTTTGAATGTGCATTCCTTTGTCAAAGGCACTTTTTAAATTATGTATAACTGTGAAGTGACACAGAGAAACTAAACACCAGAGAGAAAACACCAGAGAGAAACTAAACACCAGTGGAAAATATTCTGATAAAGTTACCTGATGGTCTGTAAAAATCAGATTCGGAATCGGAGTCACTGAACTCGAGCTGTCCAACTTGTCTTGTCCAGTCACTCTCAGTAGTATCACATGTTGTGGGTGATATTGAGACATCCGCTACTTTCTCAGAATTGCAGTGTATGGTCATCCTTGGTCCAGCTAGTTTTGTGATAGTCCATATCGTGTTTTGGTCATCCGGAAGATTTTTGGAGAAATTGAGGAAATATGCACAGGCGCCAATCTGGTGCGATGATAAAGAACTGCCAAGGAGGATGGTAAGTTCTCCTACCGTATCTCCACCTATGCTGAAGAAATTCACCGACAGCAAATCTCCATGTCCCACTGTTTTAATCTCTAGTGGAGTACTTTCAAGGTCATGAGCTATCTTAACTTCACGCTCCACTTCTATCCAACCTGAAAAATATTGCATGCCTAAATCTGTCCCTGCTCCATGTTTAAAAGAATACTTTTCATAACAACACATAACAACACATAACAACACATAACAACACATAACAACAACACATAACAACACGTCATAATTAAACAAGGTAGATATAATCTCTAGAAACGGAATTTTACCTTCAAGATTAGCTGGGTTATGTGTAGCTGTCACTCTCACGATGAGATTTAAAAGGAAGATCATCATGTCTCTCTTCAAACAGATGGAATATATTTTGATGAATATTTCTGTGCCACCGTTTTTCCCTGGTCAATAACACACCTCAACTGAGAGAAAGGCTCGAATAGTTATCCAAGGTGTTCGAGAGCATACAAAACCAAAATCGAGCTGTTGAATTGTAATGATCCTGGCCTGGTCCACAACAAGAGCACCCTACCCTCTAGGTGCTAGGCTAGAGTCACGTGTGCTGCAAAGACCACGTGATCAGCCGTCACGTGATCAACTTGAGGTAACAACTCAACAAATAAAAATGCAGATTATGGAGTCTGTCCTTTAGCGAGTGTAATGTGCCTTGTTCTCTGGTGGATAATCGTCGATTTAAATCGTGCTCAAGCACCTCTTTATAATCGCATAATAGCTTGTGAGGGATGCTGCATGTTCAAGATGCTAATGCTATTGTATTTTTACAATGCGACTAAGAGTTAGGCTTGAGAGCAATATAGAGAGTTTGATAAAGTTAAGAGCGTGAAATTACACAATGGTTCGCCAGGATACTAAGTGTATGACCCCCCCCCCCCCCCCCGCCGCCAGGATACTAAGTGTATGACCCCCCTGCCAGGATACTAAGTGTATGACCCCCCGCCAGGATACTAAGTGTATGACCCCCCCCCGCCAGGATACTAAGTGTACGTATGACCCCCGCCAGGATACTAAGTGTATGACCCCCCGCCAGGATACTAAGTGTATGACCCCCCCCCCCCCCGCCAGGATACTAAGTGTATGACCCCCCCACCGCCAGGATACTAAGTGTATGACCCCCCCCCGCCAGGATACTAAGTGTATGACCCCCCCGCCAGGATACTAAGTGTATGACCCCCCCCCGCCAGGATACTAAGTGTATGACCCCCCCCCCCGCCGCCAGGATACTAAGTGTATGACCCCCCCGCCAGGATACTAAGTGTATGACCCCCCCCCCCCCCCCCGCCAGGATACTAAGTGTATGACCCCCCCCCCCCCGCCAGGATACTAAGTGTATGACCCCCCCCCCCGCCAGGATGACTCGTACATTATATAAACCAGGACCTCACATATTATTGTATACTAGCAGGAACCCGTCTAACCCTAAAGTGGTGTCAAGACTCAAGAGACTAAATTCTAAAATAATTATTACCTTTTTTGAGTCCAAATTTTGGGCACTAAAATTCTTATTCCTTGGCCTATTTTGTTTTTTCCCCGCCAGGATGACTCACATATTATTGTACAATGTACATCATCATGATTATGGTATTAAGCCTTTGACTTTTGAGGGTTAAGAATCACACTATTTATTATTTTGAAACTATCAATTCAATATACTGCAAATTTTAGTAAGCTTTGAAACAGCAGTTTTTAGAAGAAAATTCGAAACTACTGGTGAAATTATGGTTAAGTAATTGTTACTGCTTCAAATATAATCAAATCATCAACTGAAATGGTTATTAGTAATAAATTGCTTAGTGTGAATTTGTTATGATTATTGTTTCTATCCTACATGTGACATTATAATATTATAGTATGTCCTATGTAAATACATATATAACGAACCAAACATATAATTTTTGTTGCTTTTCATTGGGATATTTATTTATTGTGGGCAAATATTTTTACGTTTATTGAATGATAACATTTTCGTACCGTGACAACCGTGACGTTTTTTGAATGTTGTATTTTTACGGTCACGTTTTGGCATCGAGTTAATAATAATCGAGTTAATAATAATCCGGGAACCGGGGAACATATAAATATAGACCACTATTATAACTGTGAGTGCTGGAGCATCATTTTACCCTTTAAAAATACATTCTATCCGTCTTGGCAAAAAATACAGACTCATGATTATAAATAACTAATAACTTCTAATGCTGTATCATTAAATCAGCGACCGCATGGCAAAACGGTTCCTCGTAATTGAATCTACTTAAAAACTAAATCATAAAAATATTATATTCTAGAAGAATTCTATTCTATATCAAGGTATCAACATAAAACAAAGATTAATAGCGAACATTGTGTGTCGCTTTCACGAAGGGGTCGTTCACACATTACGTGAACAACCCTAAACCCTAAAACACTATAATATAGTTATATAATTCATAACTGAAATATCTTTAATTATTCTAGTATGTACGAAGGAAAAGCACCAATTTGCAACCCATTAACCCCCACCCCCCCCCCCCCCCCTTTTTCTCAGAAACCTCATCATACAAATTACAGAGGGCCTCTTTACACAGTCACACAGATGTCCCTGACAATTATCAGCGGCCGTGACCAGGGTTTTGGTTAATTTATAGTCGAGGTTTCAGTTGGATTTTAAAAAAATCAGATTCATGTCTCACTTCATCTATATAATAACCCTCACATTTCAGCCCAGTACCACTGGTGACACTAGAAGCGATATCACGTGATGGTGACGTGGTGGGGTGGGTGTCTCGTACTGCGTACGGGTACAGTGTGGGGTGTAACGTAGCGTGGGGCTACATTGAGCATCCTGAGAAGATAAAACTGGATTGGGTCAAGTCTGGCAAATATCAGGTTGGTTTTGGTCGATATTAACCTTGCCGTGGTGGTTTCTGTGCGAGGCAGTCATAGTGAAGTGACGTTTTAAGTTTTTTTGTGCCTTTAGCTCTTTAGGAAATTTAGCATTTCGTACAGCTCGTCTTAGGATAATATGACTGTACTGGCGTGAAACTAAGTTAAAATAAATCAACCGATGATGATGATGAAAATCTAAAATATATGGCTACAATGAGCATCTTAATAACAATATTAATTCAATCCTATAATGTGCCATGTAATAATATTAAATCCGTTGTATGTATCTACTTAACAAACTTCTTATCGGTCATGTAATCCTGAAAATGTGTTGCTGTTAATACTTTAATAGATAAGCAGCGTTATCACTCAGAAATCAACCCAGTTATTATTAAGAAACTGTTTACACCATTAAAATATTCAAAACCCCTAAAAGAAATCAAGTCATCCTAAAATGGTGATCAGTACAGATCAAGACAGCTAGAGTTAAAATTTGTTTCTCCAAGCACCTCTATCATCGGCTAATATCTTAAGCTTATTAAGATCATTCAAAGAGTTAAGTTTTAAACCTCTACGGGTCAAATCATTCACAATAATCTTGAACAAATTCTTACGATGCGCACCGACGCGCCCTTTACAGTTTGTTGTGACAGCAAACTTTAACGCTAATGCAGCGGGGGAGTCATCAGCACTACGCAAGATATGACCTAGGAGCTTCCACCTTGCTTTAGGGACACGATCTGATAGCTTTACTGAGTTACATCTTAGGTATAAGTTTGCATTGGATATTGTTCCATGAGGCCAATAAATGTTCAGTAATGATCTAAGGTGTTTTCTATGGCAAATGTCTAGTTTTAATAACAAATTTGAAAAAGAGGGGACCAAAATTTCAATTGTCTAAATAATTATAATCTGATGAGTCAGTTGTGACTGGTGACACGTATCCTATTGGTGGTCGTCGATTACACGCTATATGATGCGGTAAAAATTTTCTGGGTTTCTTTTCCTTTTTCTTGGTTACTCCTGCACTGCTACTTTTGATTGCTGAACTTGTTGAGACAGTGTTCTTATCTTCTACTGATTTAACTTGACTGCAAACTAAACTGTTCCTGATAAAATGACGTTCGTTTGGCGTTTTATTTCTCGAGCTTTCTCTCTGAATTCTGCTACCAGTTTTCAAAGTTCTACTCTCCGGTCCAGGGTTCGATCAGGTGTCAGATAAACATTTTTGAAAATCGTGCTATTGAGCTCCTTCAATTTTATCAAAAGATCTGCCAATGTGGTTGAACTGTTCAATACGACCTTGACAGGCCTGGAAATGTCACTACTATGCTTTTTCCCAATCCTCTCTGCCTCAAAAAAGCCTCAATCGATGAGAACCAGTGTACTCCAGGGTACACGTACGACACGTACCCTAGTTCGACAGGCACCAAGAAAACAACAGTTTCAAGAAAACAACAATTTTATTTAGCATCAGTTATAGCAAACATGACAGTATTTATATAAAACTAGCAGAACCTTTTGCACATGTCTTACGGGACTAGGAGTAGTTAGAGGGTGGCCAGAAGGAGTATAACTGTTACAAATATACGTCAATAAGAATCCATGGTGATACGGGAGAGTGCAGACCGCGACCGTGAGGTTTACGCACCCAGTACCCACCCTTTCCTCCTGAATTCTTGATTGTATAGATATTTATGCAAACGTGGTCATTTATACTAGTTTGACACGTACCGTTGTTCGACAGGGGTGATTTCTGGCGAACTTAAGTTGTCCAACAGCTATAGCTCTATAGAGTATGTGGTTCAAGGACCAGACAGCAACATGCACACTCGCACAGTTTTAAATATACTGTTTTATGCAGTATATTTATGCACGTTTACTGCACTTGCGTTCCACAGAACGAATGATTTTCCTCGTATCAAGGCTTATTATACAAAAACCGGTTTTGTGCAAAAATATATGCCAGTTTGCTCACTACACAGGTCCTATACACACATACAAGGTAAATTCGATGAATTTCATTGGTCTTAGAATAGATAAAGGGAGTCATTAGGTTTCCTCGATATCCTAATGAATTCTAGTAATTTACCACATATTGTAGTACAGGGTGGCCCATATGTAACTACCCGCACGCAACCCTTTAATAACTCACGTAATTCGATTAAGAATTGCTTACAATTTTCAGAGAATATAGGATATGGGTCGAACTTAGATTTGCTGAAAATTTCATAAAATTTCATCGATTACAGAGGGTGTGGCACGCCACACGCCACAGTGAGCGTTATTAGGCGGTACCGAGCGGCGAGCATGTTGGGGGATGACGATCTGATCACTTTAAGTGAATACTTATTATGACATTCCTTAAAATCAAAGAAATTTGCGTTATAGTGCTTCGGTTGCTGTCCTATGAGCAGGTTCCAACCAATCAGGCCATTGATTGAGTGAAGAAATCACAGATTAAGTGCCGGGATCATGTATCCGCCAGATCTTATAATGGTCATTAATCGGCTTAGTTGTAAACAACCAACTTCAGATTTTAGGAAAGCAATTCAATTATCAAACCAAATGTGTCTGGAAATTTAGGAGTTTCTAACTCAAAACGTTCTCATTTTATGGTGACAACTGACAATAGAGAAAAAGAGGGAGTGGCGTGCAACACCCTCTGTAATTGATGAAATTTTACGACATTTTCAGGAAATCTAAGTTTGACCAATATCTATATTCTCTGTAATTTTTAAGCAATTCTATTACGAATTACGTGAGTTATTAAAGGGTTGCGTGTGGGTAGTTAATTCTGGGCCACCCTGTACTTAGTTCTTGCCGCATGTCAATCAGGTTTTACCACTTCAAAACTGGTTTCGCTTCGACTTACTTTTTGTAAAAGGCGCAAGATTATTTAACCCTAATTCATGTCAAGGAGACCTGGCTTTGTCGCGCGCAATGTTTTTATTTCGCGCGCGCAACCATGTGTTGTCTCTAGCTCAGCTGGATGCATGGATCTGTGTCGTGGCAAATTTTAGCCTGATCTGGGTTAGCACTAGCTGCTAGTGACTAGCATGAAGCATCCACGAGTAATTTGAATTTAGAATTTAGAGGTAATTTGAATTCTTCGGACATTGTCGAGGGCAAGGATAGACTCGATATTAGATAATAATAAAGTTACCATTTAACTTTAATAGGTGGAGTGTATGGGGGAAGTATACGATGCAGAGGTCTCCTTGGCGGCACCTTTCGATCCCAAGAACCTGAGAGTTAAAGGCATTTACGAATAAAACGCCACTGCTTGAACACTAAAACAATCAATACTTTTTTGACTATGAGATTTGTGGAACTCGAGAGTATTATGGCTCGGTATCGTAGAGGTATTATGTAGCTTGTTAGGACTTAATAAATTTAACTTTATCTGTGTTATTAGGAAATCGAACTAGAATTTTATGATAACTTCATACTTATCGAAACAATTTGTGAATGTAATTAATGTAGATTTCAGTAACAGTTAAAAAAGTATATTTCAGATATATTTGCTAAAGTAGCTAAACGTTTAACTTATTTGCTAATTTCTGTACCTCGATTATATTTATGGATTTATTAATCAATACTTTTATACTGGGATGAATAGAAGCGAAATTTTTATGAGAATATAAATAAACTGTTTTTTATTATTTTTATTATTTTTATACCATATTAAATTAATTTACATGATGAGTCTTTTTTCGTCAATAGTGTATGCAATCTTCTCCACTTTCTGATGGTGGACTTGGCATAAATCCAATTGTTCGATATTCGGGAACAATCTCTTCAATCAGCGACGAAGGAGGTCTCGGCAAATCACCGTCCGGCAACATGGCAGAAATATTCAAATCATCACTTTTTGATGACCCAACATCAATATGTTTTTGATCAGAAACACAACTAGTCATACTTTGACTAGACTTCCGTGATAAACTTCTGAAAAGTTTTGTGAAGGAGCCACTGGTACTTTTGAAGGACCCATGATTTCCTGCGTCTTCTCGGGCTGAAGCGTTACTGTTAGGCGGGGGTTGTGTGAATTTTCCCTTTTGTTTTGACTTTATTTCATCGTGGGAGGAGGGGCTGTCGGATGGTTGACTGTCCACATTATATACTCCTGTTTCTGTAACAAGATGTTGGTTATTTTAACTTTAAGGTTCGACTATTACTGGACTTTTATGTTTTATGACGTCACATCTTCTTGCTAGTCGGCGTGTAAAACTTATAACTTTAATTATGACTCCAGAATTTTAGAAATATGAAACAAAGGTGAATAATAATTACTATTACAAATAGGAAATGTGTTAGGTGAATGATGTTAAGCTCATACTTGCAACTGAACTCTTTCTTCTACTTCTAGTATTATGTTGGAAGAACCCCATAACCAAGGATTTGGTACGTAAAAAACGAAGTTTAACTCGTTGATTAAAACTATTCAGCCAAATGAACAGCATTAAGTCATACTACCGTAACAAATACACTACGTTCTGTTGACTCGCAGTTGCACGTGCAAATTTGACGGCACGCGTCATGGTAACAGCAAAAGCCACTATAAAAATCCAGAATATTTTGTATTCAATATTCTTAGGTTGACAACATGACATTTCCTACTTTAGACTGTCGTAGCTGGCTTTAGAAAATCCCACTGTATAACTCGAAGTGATAGGCTAGAGAATCTTGTTCTACATGACGGTCAACAATTTCAACAAGCATGGCAAAATAAAACGCCGCAAATTTTAAAATGAACTAGTAAATAATTGAATGTAAGAAATAATGAACAAGCAAAAACTTTTGACATAGTATAATTTTGTAATTTTCAAATAAACACATGCTCATCATGCCTGGAATTAAATAAAATATGGCAATTAAACGAATTGTACAATCAATTAATTAATTAATTGTACAATTAAACGAATTGTACAGGTTTCACAAGAATTAACGCAATATTAAAATGTGGAATCGAGCCGAGAATAGATAAGAATGCTCATAATAATATTGTTTCATCCTCATTGTTCATATTGCGTTAATACTTGTACTTTCTTCCCTTGTAATTATCGGCCAACATCAAAGTTATATTACTTAAGTTTCCTCTGCAAACAAAAATTGTATTCTACATTCTGTATTAGATAAAAAATGATAATTTGCTTTTTGTTTTTCATGCCCCTGGATGTTCTTGTTAATAATATAAGCAAACGGACTTCTTGTCCGTTCGCGTTAGCATGACAGAGTACTTTTACTAACATGTATCCATATTTCATAATTGTGCGGAACGTCTGGCATGGCAGTTACAGATAATACCTATTATATATATGGTAATATACTGCAACTCCTTCAGAACAATCACTATCAACAACAACAATCCACTAACAACAATAAGTCCCCTAATAAACCGCCTTACTGAAACGTAACCTTCCCAAAAACAAATACAACTCCACCTATGAAAGAGCACCTCTATTGAAATCATATCAAATTTATAATCATTACACAATCCCATTGAGAGGGGTATCAAGATAATCTGAGAGTCCGAGGTTGAGCTCATCTAGAAGGTTGTTCCAGGCTGGTCCAGATGAGAAGTTGAAACTCTCCTGGCAGCTTGACTGGTTGAAGGCGTTTGACAGTTTTTCTCCTGGAAAAGAGCACTGTTATTACGGGGCTTGATTAATACTGAGTACGAGTTGAATATTTCGAATTACTTCCAATTTGCTGCCTACAAAACAGCTAAATTAAGACAATTCTCAATTCCTTTGACGTGCTTTTTTTACGATAAAAAACGCGTACCTTTGACAATAAGTTCTGGTTGTTGTAGATTTGGACAATCTATTAGACTTTCAATGTCTCTGACAAGGTCGCTGTAAAAATGTGATGTTAGCATGACAACTTTTAAAGTTTTAATGCCACCTCATAGACTATGGATAAATCTCATGGGTCTACCGAGCAATTTGTATTTTATCAAAACAATTCTATCTTGAAGCCAACTAGGCAGAAAGGTATTAAAAATGAATACCTTACATTTTAATCCAGAAAGAAAAGTAAGCAGCCAAAGATATCCTTTGTAAGTTAATGCCTGAACCAATGAAACGGACTATCATTAAATTAACTAATTAAAATTAATTATCCTAATTACCTGAGTTCAGGGGAGCTGATATCATCATTGAGACCCTCAAAGTTTAGGGACTGTGAGATGGAATTATCCGACTGGGCACTCATCATCGTGTCGCCATCATCCAACACAGTGTTTGATTCCAACATACAACTGTCCTTGAAAAAGTCGTCTTCTGTCTTTTTCGTGACCTGTTATAAATAATTTACAGGTTAATCCCAAATCCAAATATAATCTGGGTAATGTTTAGTTGGTCTTTTGTTATTCCTGCTTCTAGTACCTTTTTCATTTACACGACACATTTAACATGTTTCATTGTTCTTGCTCTGATTTTACTATCTTACAGAGTTACAGTCCTTCAGTTAATGACACAATCAATCTATTAACATGAATGACCGTAACACATACTGCATGGATTCACAAATAGTCAATAGACTAATAGAATTAGAGTCGATAGTGTTATTTTGTCTGATGCAGTTTGATGCACACAGTGAGTTAATCCTTCGTCGATCATGATTGCTACAGCTAACCATCAAGCACTGATTAATAATATTATTTTTCAGACATGCACAATTGCAAGGCTACAAAATTACGTTAACTAAGCGTGCATGGTGTAAAATCTGGCCTATCGGTGGCGGCGGTGCACAGTGATGATCTATTATTAGACAACCATTATGTTTGTGCTTTATTATAGTCGCCTGCTGTGGGGCCACAGCTCTAAAATCCCGTCACAGCTCTAAAATCCCGTTTTCCGACATTAAAATTAAGTTGGTTGTGGGGCATTAGGAGAGAACTAATGCATAGTAATTGAATTTAGTCCAGAGCCCCTGCGAATGACTGACAAAAGGTTGGCTATAGAGCTTGTAGAGAAGTCGTGCAACCCAGCCTGGGTATTTTCATGTTTCGTTAAATAGAAGTAAGTACATGCTATTCACATCTAGATGAACTTTAGCATGTTAAGAGAGTCATGTAAATTCTGGGACCATAAGTGAAATCGAATTATGAAGGGCCTGATGGCTTCTGTAGCTTGCAGTTAGATTTATGTTGCTGGATTCAATGCTCAAATATTAACACTCAAGGTTTCGAGTTCTTAGAGAAAAATAATGGGAGAAAGTTTACTCCCACAACTTCTGAAATGAACAAACAAACTATACACACTGTGATCAAATTAAATCAAAATTTAAACTGTAACCAAAAACAATAAAATTAATAATATATTATTTAAAAAACAACTGACCTCTCCTTGAGAAGCTGAATTGAGCTGAATATCTTTTAACACGAACTCCCAAGGTTGCTCCTCTGAGGAACCCTTGTTGAAACTGTTGTTCAGACCCCCGTTCAAACTTCCGTTCAAGTTGATATTTGGTCGGATAAGTTCTGCAAGATAAGAAAAGATGATAAAAGAGGTATAGTTTTTGTCTCAATCATGTTGAAATAATGTAAAGTATCTACACTGAATTAGCCGCCCAGTTTCAACCACGTTACGATCATCTAAGTAGAGGATTAATTGTATGCTTATATCAAGCTCACTGGACCATTACATTTAAAGCAACATACCTGATGATGATGTTAGAGGGGCTTGAGGTTGAAGTTGAGAGGTAGCGAGGTTAAGTTTGAGGTTGGATGGTCGAGGCTGGCCGTGAGGTTGGGTTGTGCTGCTGCGACTGTACGGCGTCTTCTGTGGTTAAGAATCGTTAGTATTGTCTAAAATAGGTGTCTAACAGCCAACAGGTCAAACGAATTCAAACTAGTTCAATAATTTTATTAAAACCAAAATAGAATTTGAGTTAACTTATTTACCAAATCACCTTATCTTTAGGCCATGAATAATGACTTACAAATTTAACGAGTTTAAGAATATTCGACAATTCATATGTGGTACCCCGTACCCCTCATAGTCATACAACAGCCTCATACAGAAAGAAAATAATAAAAATAAAAATATTCAACAAAAAACGGGTGGTCGATATTACACTAGTTAATAACTCACCAAATGAAGAGCTGATGACAATTTGAGGATACCATTATTGTTGTTAATAGTCTGGAATCCTTGTCCGTACTGGTTGATGTGGGTCTGATAGCTCAGACCTCCGAGATCGATAGTCTGAGCTCGAACTGGACGAGCTTTCGCGGGGTTGTAGGTGGTGGAGGAGGAGCGATTGTAGGTATCTGTTAAATTCAGGATATTAGAGAAATGGTCGGGCATGGTCGGGAAAGGTCGGGCATGGTTGGGCATGATCGGGCATGGTCGGGCATGGTCGTTCAGCTGTATGATCCATGATAAAAAAGTGAAGAGGCCTGGAAATTGATATCACGAAGCAGATTCGCAAGCTGACCTGCTTTAGTATAGCTAGAAGATCTGGAGTATGGAACTTTCTGGATCTTCTTCTTGTTCTTCCTCCTCTTCAAAACCCCGTTTTTGAAATACTCTTCATACTCTGAGTTAATCATCCAGAATCCTCCCTTACCAGGCTCGTCCTTGTCACGTGGTACCTATAATATTGGGCTATCATTTCAAAGACAAAGTGTTTTTATTCGAGATGGTTCAAAATACAGTTAAATTTGGAATTTTCTTGTTACACGGATCTGAATTTATTCTTGACTGTTTCAATAGACGAATCTGCCCTCCGGTTTACTTATGAGTAGCCAACTGAGTATAAACTCAATAATAAATATACTTTATCACGTGTCGCGTGATGACATACCTTCATAAAACACTTGTTAAGTGATAGATTGTGACGGATAGAGTTTTGCCAGCTCGGATCTGCGTTGCGGTAATATGCGAAGTTTGCCATGATCCAGTTATAAATGGCGCTCAACGTGATCTTGTGCTTTGGTGTCTCCCTGTTTAGTACGAATCGTTAAACTTTGGGTACTTCTCTGGGCTTAGAATGATTAAAAACAGGTAGTGGTTCCCAGAGTTCAGTCGTCAAATACCCAACCAGTAGTCGATCATTAATAATTATGGATTTGTGCTTCAATTGGTGAAAAGATAGTTATTAACCTTATGGCCATGCAGATAAGGGTAGCATAGGAGTAGGGTGGTTTAATATGGGAGTTTCTGGTGTAGTCGACTGAGGTATTGTGTCTGCCCCCACCGGCTCTTTGTTGTGGAGTTCTATCAGTTCTATCATCCTGGAGTTTAATTGATGTCAACACAATATCTAACATCTAACTAGGAATAACTAGGCTACTGATAACAATTAGGGGAAAACAATTACGTTGAAATTTGACCCTGAGACCCTCTGAAAAACTGATCGATTGACTGACTAAATTACTGGAACTAAATTAACAGACAAAGTAAGGCTGAAAAACCAACTCACTTTTGACTGAGGGGAGGAGGAGGCGGAACTGGAAGTTGAAGCTACGGTTTTCCTCGCAACTGCCAAACCCTCACTCAGGTTCATGTTAATGTGTTGGAGCCATTGGAGGTTGGTAAGGGAGGAGTTCAACAGATCATCCTCGTCGAAATTATCAGCCATTGTCATCAGCCCTAATTAGCAGCTAGTTAGTTAATTGGTTACATCAAAGGAGTTTTTAATGAGTTTATTAACCAGCCTTAATTAGTTGATTATGATTATATCTGTTATCTTCCAGCCCTGGTACTGGCTGATGTAATGTTTACTAGCCTAACAATATGTATTGGTGTGTTTAGATAATTCTGAGTTGTCACTTAATCAGTGTAGTAAATAAAATATAACCTGAGTAGATAAACACACGGTCACAAACAGATTTGGAAATATTAGTCCGGCTATGCAGTATGCAGGACCCTCTGCCTCTTACGATTACTAGTTTTAAATCACATGGTTTGGCACAATCGAACAAGGAAATATTAGCTTTTGAAAAGCAACAAACAAATTGTTGTGGGCAGTGTATCGCAATATAGGATAGGTCGGTAACTGCTAAAATCGTACCAATACACAGTTCAGAACCACAAAACTGTGATACATAAAGAAATAAAGCTTGAACCTTGACACGAGTTTAGCTTTCAATTCACCTTCATTGTTAAAAACTACCTCATAAAACTGACTTCATATGCTTGAATACGAGCCGACACGAATATTACTTTCACCGTACACTACTCTTAAAACTACCACAAAACAGAGTTCATATGCTCAAAGACTGACCATACTTTTCAATGATTTGACGGACCAACAATTTAAAACTTGCCGTTATATTAAAAACAAGTTATGATTGTGTCGCGAGTGAGAGCGCTGATGCAATAAGCACTCGAATTGATTCTTGCTTGGTCGAACACATCACAGACTTTGCTTGCCATGCTGAAGTATAAAACTCTGGGGCAGGGCTGCAGTTACTTTTCCTTTACATGCTTATAATCTAATGGATCGGCTTTTAAAACCGCCGATAGTATGTTTGGTCAACGTTCGTGAAGCCGGATGAAAGAAAACACGAGGAATCGATTGCAAGTGCATAATTGCGTGGAAAACGGAAAGAGACTGTACAAAAGGGAAGTTTGATAAGCATATTGATCGATGTTAATCAATGCTGCACAAAGATAATCCTGTGCAACATTCCATTTATAACGGACAATAACAGGAAAAGTTTTGAAGATGGACTTTGTTAATAAATGGAATTGATAAATAACTTCTTAGCTGATGACAAATCATTTGAGCCTATGATCATAATATGATATGAGAGTAAATTTGAAAAAATAAGATTATTGATTATAATCCTGAACTTATTAGTATTATTAGAATTCGATTCGCAAGTATGTAAAATTCAAACTTCAAGTGACGGTGGCGACTACATAATTTTAATTTCTGGCGATAGCTTTTGCAAGAAATCGAATCTTAACTTCAAAATCCGTTAGTATTACGTAAAAACTAATGACGTAATTTACGAAGTTATATGTGCAATCTGAATCATCGCCTATATTAAACAAAGTCTAGACACTCAATGTTCAATATGGGGACCCATGTGAATTGGGGTCGAATTTGTCATGGAAACCATCAATTTGAACTCAATAAAACTCGCTACACTGAAACTTTGTGAGTGATGGAAGCAAGTTCACTTCAACAAATCAGAAAATTCGATCGACCACTTCAAAGCCATAAGATCGATCGTAAAATATGTTCAATTCTGCGGTCGTTATGGATACGGGTAACAATGCTAAGTAAGCTAATTCGTTGTATGACATGAACCGTTAGGTAAGCGCAACAAAACCTTGATAAGGTATTATAGTTCACAGGTGTGTTCCGGGGTTGTTGCCTGGGTGACCTAGGCTTGATTCCGTCACAGAAGTGACATTGACACAGCTTATAATTATGGTCTCTAGCTAATCCCTGGGTATTCGGGTGATACCGTGATCATCCTAAATGTCAGAGTTATCAGGTGGCTATAATAATATAACGAATGCCTGAGTGCCAAATTTGAAACGAAATTACCTGCTTATTGCTTGAAATGAACTTTGGCCAACAGGGCGGCACATAAATGTGCGACATTTTCAGGGCGACACTTAGTCGTGCGATGGTCAACTGATAAATAAACCATTCACCCGATCATTAGCTCGTAGAAATACTGTCTGAGCTTCCAAATATGAATTCAACATTAAATACAAATAACATGTGAATGAAACCAACTCCTAAGCATTGGCACAATGCCATTATCAACTCTCAATGATTGCCGAAATGGCGAACAACTACCCTGACGGTGACAAATTGAATTTTGTGCCCGAAATAGCGACTCGCAGCCCCTCATTATTCACCATATCTTCTCGAACTTGAGGTGAGAGTTCTAGAGATTTTAAATATGGATATCAAATTTCCAGTTACGGACAATGGTCAAGTTTAGGGACCCTTGTTAACAGCTAAGGAGAGGATCTTTAGTACTTCTTCATTTCAACATATAATAGAGGCTTATCTTGGATGGTTGCCAGGATTGTAGTTGGATACTATAGCAGGACATTTTTATGGTTTCAGAATATTGTCCTTCTTTGGGAGTCATGTATTTTATAATTCTATTGGAGATGATCAAATGAAACAAAATATGGTTCAAGGTCAAGGATAGCCATTAGCCAATGAAAAGCTATCAATGTAATGAACAAATCACTGAGTGTGTTCTTTAATGACATTGTTACATTGATAGCCCGCATTTGTTACTTGGATTATTATACAGGCTTTGTAATCCTAAACCGTAAGTTGAAATCGATCATTCATGACTCAGACTGTGCAGCAAAGCGCTGATCACTTGCTTAGACTGATTTCTGTAAACAAAATTTTAAATGACGTTATAATTTAAATAATATCTCACTCTTTAGATAATATGTTGTTCAATGATAAAATCGTATAGCACTTGAGTTCATTTCATATCTCAATAAATGAATTATGAAAGGTAGAAACTAGAAACAAAGTGATGAACAAAGAGACAAAGTGATGAACACAGTGAAATCATGAAATACTCAAATACTGTCCCTAGTTTTTAGTTTGATATTTATCCCAAATATATTAAAGTTACATTTCCATTTGTCTGTTGTATTTCAAGTTTTATAACTATTAGGGCCGACGAAGATAGCAAAAACATTCAAGAACAGATGCACGAAACGTTCTTGAACTTACATATTTCTGCAACTGAATGAGTCAACCAACTATTACGTTAATTTAGTAGCTTCATGGAACGTACTTTGGTCATGTTACCACAAAATTTTGAGAATTGAATAACAAATAAACAAAACATACCAAACTGTAAACAAATGCTGAATATCTATTGTAGTTTAATAGAAGCATCATCAGAAGCTGGTCAGTGAAAATGCTAAATATCAAATAGTCTGTTTTATGTAATTCTATTCATGCGGTTTCGGATCCGAAATTTTGCGTTGAATCCAAACTTTGTTATCCACGAATCGTACCTCGTCTGTGTTTTGTGATACTTAAAGATGGTGTTTTTCTTTTCTCATGTATATTGTATGAACGTAACTAAGATCTTCAAATGAAGAGGAGAATGTGCAAAAGATATAAGGTAAATTAACCAGTTTTAAAATAAATATTGATGCTCACCCGCAATTAAATGGGACGCTTTTATATTATTTAGCATTTCATATTTTTTTTCATCAGAAGAAAGTAAATGCGCAATCTTGCAAATTTCAGATGAAAATTCCTCAAATAACATATAACAGCAGCTGAGGAGAAACATTTTCAGTAAATTGAGTCAATTTTAACTGGCAATGTTTCTCCTCAGCTGCTGTAATATGAGTAAATGGAACTTAGTACTCCTACTATATGACTGATCATGATATTACAACAGGTGCCTTTCGAACTATTGCTCTATTCTGGTCTAAATCTAATACATAATTGCAACTCTGCTAATGTTATAAATGTATCAAACCGTCTTTCCGGACGGCAAACAAAAATTGACACTGACACAAGCCCAGCTATTGACAAAATTGATCGCACTAAAAGTGAAAAAGTTGCACCAACTCCGACAGGTTGCTGTTAAATAGTGCACAAGCTGGGATCTCTTATTGCCGGCACGTGACCTACACTCTAACCTCCTACTGGTCAACTCCAGCACGTGACATTTGCACGCCGCGCGCTGGATGGCCACATACTCCACGTGACCTCCCTGAGTTTGTATTAGAAAGTAACGATCAAGTAGCACGTGTGCTACCTCATTGCAGCCAATCTATGCACTCTGCACACCCCACGTGACGGGCTCTCAGCGAATAAGAGATCTCGATAACTGTGCGATAGATGCTAGCTTATTGCTTGGCCGATCATGCAGCAGTTAAAAGAAAGATTTACAAGCTAGTCCAGGTGGGTCGGGACAAGTTATTTTCATTCTTGCTTGCTACAAGCACAGTGCAGGACTTTTAACATATCCCAACAATCGCTTTTAAACAACTTGCGAACATATGATTATTGTTCGTATGGGAAAGCCAATCAATAGATATCACTTTTTCTTCTACCTTGGGATAAGACGTGGCATTACTTCGACTTAGTATGAATAATTTAAAGACTTTTCGTTAGCGTTGTAGGCCGTAATATTATTTAAGACCACAGCATATCGGCTCCAGAATTTGTATGTACAGTAGTAATCTACGGAAAATTTCTGAATATTCGTGAGTACGTATAGTAACTTTAACAAAATAAAATGAGTTCAAGGACACCGAACTGGTTCATAGGCCACCATGTGTTTTTAGTTTTGTTCTTACAAGAACTGAAATTTCACGAGAATTGCAATTTCACGAGAACTGCAATTTCACGTGTAGCAGTAGTAGTGGGAGTAGCACCAATGTTCTCCAGAAAAAGAGAAAACGTTAAGTTTTCATTGTAAACAACAATAAAATGGGTATTTGTAAGAAAGTCGTAAAATAACTTTACCATTTACAAAAAGATCAAACAAGAATTTTAATGTACAGTAGTAAGAACATTTAAAACATATCAAAATCAGTCAACGGTAAAAACAGGACTTAAACTCTTCTACTAGAAAGGAAAATCAGTTGTCAGCATCAAAAATTTTTCAACATTAAGAAAATGAATTCCTCAAGTTAAAATGTCTATTAGAAGTAAAAACAATTGGACAGGAAATTCGGGGTAGTTCCTTTGGATCAGTTTAAATGGAATTACTTAGCAGATCCTTCTTAAATACAACGATTAGGCTTTCATTGACATGATACGGAAAAACCCTCTTCAACAGTAGGACATAAAATATGAAATCGATTGCAAAACTGGATCAGTTGCTACGGTCAATAAAATCAATAAAAACGAGATAAAAACTCTCACGAGATATTCTAATAATTATAATAATAATGATTACACGTATTTATAGTTAAAATCGGTGTATTTACATCGACGACGATTATAATCTCGTTAATAATCTGTGACCGAAAAGCAATCTTTAGGTCAAACTCTTCCACGATTCGACTGACTGAATTATTAAAACGATCAAATAACGCCCCGAGTAATCTAGCTGTTTTACACTGAACAACGTCAATACAGGCAATACTCAATATTGACCCCAATCTAGTCATTTTCTTTGAAGATGAGATGTTTTCTTCTGCTGAGAATCGACCTAGTTGAGGTGACCTTGAGGGGCGACGTATGTGAATTCTGTGAATTGATGTTCGTCAAGAACTCCTGAAATAAATTATTATGAGAAATGCCACGTAATATTGCGTAATAACAATAATTGAATTTTTTCCCCGTTTTATCTATATTAAAGTATTAAGGTTTCAAAAATGTGATCATATTATATCATCCTTCAATCCGAAACGAAACGAAACGAAACGAAAACACTGTATTTACTACCCCGCTACTATGCGACAAAGATATTGTATAAAGATAACTAAATAATTTACACAATACGGTGCCCATGTCTGAGCGGCTCTCCTCAAATAACTTTATCTCCTCCTCGGAGCAGAAAGTTAAAAACAAAACACGGGTCTCATAAATCAAAAAATACTAAATAATGTTAAAGAGATGATATCAGATTAACTGTCGCAAAAAATGGTTAAAGTATACATATTACATAATTGATTTTATTGACACACCGATAAAAACCAGAAAAACAAGAAGTGGATACTCGAAAAAATAAAAAAAAAAACACAAAAAAAGACTAAGCCACAAAAAATAGCTTAACCAGGCTATAGCTGATCATACAAATAGTTCTTTAACTTACCCTTAAAAGAGACAATATTATCGATGTTACGGACATTAATCAGAAATCTAAATCCATAATCATGCACCTCTTTTGTGTCTCCAAAAGGAAACAATAAAATATTTTAGCAATGACTATGTAGTATAGTATGTATGTCCGACGTCCGTGGTATGTCCTACAGCATATGCACTATGCAGCTTTGTGCCCTTTGAGCATACGAGAGTGTAAAAAGGAATTTGAGAAGCACATTATACCGCAATTAACACTGTACTGAGAATAGAATCTATCTAAACAAAACAATTATGACACATTTATAGTCGTGGTAGCATATGGCTCAAATACTCTAATAGTTTGTATTTTGTCAACAGTTCGGCTAGGATAAATTTCTACACCTGATTGAAAATAGAAGGACCGCAGTCGCCGAGCCAATAGGTAAAGGAATTTAAATTGCAGGTTTTTACAGGAGGTGCACTTGTTAAGGTGCTACTCGTACAAAAGTGCAGGAAATCATCAGTGGATTGAAAGCAGCGCACGATAATCCAGATACTTAATTAAAGATTTCAAACAAGATTTCAGTCTTATTATTTTTTTAACAAGCAGGATAATTATGGAAACAGTTCAGAATCCTGACCAGAATTCACATTCAACAATTACGAGTGAGTAAGTATTTATATATAGTAACTGACAAGTTCAATCCTCACACGAACCTTCATTGACTGGTGTAAAGTTTGGTGTTTCGTCAGTGAACATCGTGTCGAAGTTTGACGTATCGTCGTCGTTGTCGACATTAATATGTGGCACAAATGGCGGTTTAACCTGATGATATAAACGTTATGCACTAGATTGTATGATGATTGCAAAAAGGGAATATAGGTATACATCAACTGTGATAAAATATCTAATAGTGACCATATTCTCCTCATCCAATCTCAAACAAAAAGAGTTATTTAAGTCAACCGACCTTCTTTTCGTACATGTCCTGCCAGTTCATGCTGCCGAAGAAAGTGTGATTCTTGACATCTGTAGCTCCTCGCGTGCTTCCGCCTAGTCTGAAATAATGCCACATTCATGTGATGTTTGATATACAGTGTGAAGAACCTTGATAGTTCACCGAACTACACCCAGTTTACAATATTGACACCATGCATGATACCTAGCAGTACCGAGAAATATAATGCGCGCATCAAATGATATGATATATTATGATATGCGCGCGCAGCGCACTCAGATCACGTGCGCGCAGTGCTAGCGCAAAACAAATACATCACCGCGTGTTACACAAATGATACAACATTTCACTTCCTTGGGACAATTTCACGGACATAGTGAGCACACTCGGATATGTGATAGGAGGACTCTATCACAACATTTTAGTTGGAGTGTAAATATACATTAACGTCATTCTGACGCATTTTAAATCTATTTGTTTAACAGGACATCATCATTGACTGAATATGGAATATGGAACTTCAGCATTTATTGATGATATAAGATGCAAACACTTGCATTACCACAGGTCTAGGTGTTGTAATAGATAGTAACGTAAGCGTTACATTTCCGGTAAATTGAGATGTTACAACATTTCACCCACGAAGATCAAGCTTTATAAAGAAACTTCTCGGTGTATTTGTCACAGAGCTCCACTAGAATTTCAAATATTTAGAAGATAACAGTCTTATCTGAAATATGACACCACATTGTATATGACAGCTGAGTTGTCAGTAAAGACACACACAACACTTGTCAAGACTCGCTACAGCACACACAGACATATGTATATATCATGGTGATGTCATGGTACATCTGGAAGCAGGTCAATTAGCAATCAGGATGCATACCAAATAACTTTGTGACAACAAATAGGTCATATGAAAAGGAACAAGGAATTTGTAAGCATTCTTGAAAACGAACAAGGACTTTTTAAACATTCTAACATTACATAACACGTAAATGATTACGTAAGTTAACGACAAACTAAGTCAAGGCTTGGTGAAAATAACACAAAACACCTCCAAAAACAAACAAACCTGTGAGATGGGTTTTTGTTGAGAAGTCCCATCAGGATACTTTTACCAGTAGGGGTCAGTGTGCTGGGATATTTTACTTCTTGATTTAAGATCAGGTCGAATAAGGTGTCGTGGGATTTGGAGTAGAAGGGAAGTCGACCACACAACATCTCGTATAGTACAACACCTGGGCGGATGTTTATAATTAGGTAATTATGTAATAATGATTACATAATTAGTATAATCGCAGTTTTGTACCAAACCCTCTGATCTCACATGATCTTTTAACCTTCTGGAATACAATTTGTGGAGCAGAAAACTGTCAAAACTGAAAAATGTACAGCGATAAGCACAGTAATAAGGCATTAACTCACTAGCACACACATTGATTTCCAAAACACATTACACTCACCTAATCCCCCCCCCCCCCCCCCCCCTAAATTACACTCACCTAATCCCCACCAATCAACAGCATGCCCGTAATCCTGATCGTCAATAATCTCTGGCGCGAGGTACTCGGGCGTACCACAGAACGTTCTGCACGTGTCTCCGTACGTGATCTGCTCCTTACACAGACCAAAGTCCGCTATCTTTATGTGACCTTCCTCGTCCAGCAGTAGGTTTTCTAGTTTCAGATCCCTGGATTGTTTACGGTTTTTGTTTTGATGTTTTTGTTTTCCTACATTTGTTTTAACAAAAACTCTTAAAGCAATTTCGTAACTATGTAGATGATGTAATGTACATTCTAATCGTTAACGCTTTATTAGTTTTAACTTTCGTATCACTGACTAATATGTCTGATATGATGTAGTATGATCATCAGCATTCACCACCATTGTCATTTCCAAAATTGGCTCATTACAAATACCACATCAAGTCATGATATAATAACCTTAGAAATACCCACGAACTGGTAAACACCAACGAACGTCGAACCTAATTTACCATTTAATTAATCAGGGTACATTTCACACGTTTTATATTTAACTTCACACTAAATCGCGACTCTAACTGTTGACCCAGATATCAGGAACTAACCTGTAAACTACATTGTTGCTATCTGAATTCTGAAACTAACCTGTAAACTACATTGTTGCTATCTGGAACTAACCTGTAAACTACATTGTTGCTATCTGAAACTAACCTGTAAACTACATTGTTGCTATCTGAAACTAACCTGTAAACTACATTGTTGCTGTGGAGGAACTCAAGTGCGAGGGTGATCTCTGCCGCGTAGAACCTAGAGCGGTGTTCCGAGAATTTACGTTCCTTCGCAATGTGGAAGAAGAGCTGAAACGAGATTTAGCGTCATGATGACGTAGTCATTACTCATTATATAACATAACTGGTAACATTACACCACCATGGAGAAGGGGGCTGTGGTGAATAATGAACTGATCGCTCATAATTTGAACCCCTTTTTCAAAATCTATTTCAGTGTCAGAAACTCTGATACATGAATTGTGGGGCCCGGCTACGAGGCCGAGGGTGGTGCGGGGGTGACAGTTATCCGTCGAAATGTTAGGTTCGCGTGAACCACCGTATGCGAGTCACAAGAACGAATCATCTTGACAGATACAGGTCACGTGCCAACGTATTCACTGATCCGAGACCCTTCGACTTATAGGGTCTATGAGGCTTAGTGTGACTAGCCGTGTTTTCACTGCTCTGGGACCCTTTGAGGCTTAGTGTGACCAGCTGCTGTTTTTTAATTTTTTTATGGGCTTGATATGGAAGTTGGTTGTTGTGGTTAATTTAACAGTTGCAGGGAAATATCGTCCCAAGAATTAAATGGACCTGATAATGGACGACTGAGCGTTTCCCAGTAGTTGATGAGAGCTAATACATACTAACAGTAATTCTGTAATTTCTAAGATAAGACAGTACGGTAATACACAATATAATGATTAAATTTATTTTATCTGTAACTTGAACTTTAAGCTCTTTATGTCATGTCAAAGAGGTTGTAAATATAATTCTAGGTTGTGATTATAATACTACTATATCTAATATTACAGCTATACTAGTAACTAGCGTCCAAAATGTTGACACTCTTTTAAGTTTGTAAAATATAAGTGACAGTTTTTAGTAATACAAATTACCAAGTACCAAGGAACTTGGAGACTAGTTCTGAAATTACTATTTCATTTGTTTGTATTTATACCCTGGAAATCAAAATACGATTTATTTCTAGAGCACAAGTCATGCACAACCAATATGGTTGACTTTTGTGATAGCCTGGCATTGTCTCTTAACGAAAACATTATCAATCATGTTGTGTATTTTGATTTTGCTAAGGCATTTGATTCTGTAAATCATGATATCCTTCTTCATAAGCTAAAGACCTTATATAACATTGATGGTACACTTCTCAAATTTCTTACCAATTACCTTCAAGGCCGTTACCAAAGAGTGGTTATTGGTAATGAGATGTCATCTACCCTCTCAGTTAATTCTGGTGTCCCCCAGGGCTCTATTCTTGGTCCCTTACTTTTTGTATTGTTTATCAATGATATTCCTCTTGGCCTTTCGGATAATACTGATATTGTTTTGTATGCCGATGATACAAAAATCTGGCGTAAAATACATTCATCTTCTGATAATACTAATTTACAAATGGATATAGACTATCTCTCTGACTGGGCACTAAGAAACAAAATGCGATTCCATCCAGCAAAATGTAAAGTGCTTATTGTTTCAGCAAAACCATCTTTATCTCCTCCATTCGCATATAATCTTGATGGCTCTCCTCTTGTGTATGTAGAGTTAGAAAAAGATCTTGGAGTCGATGTTACTCCTAAGCTAAGTTGGAATAGTCAGTGCGACAGAATTTATACTAAGGCCTGCCAACAACTTGGTATGGTCAGAAGAGATGGCCATATTGTCATTGATCAGAAACGTCGCCGGGCGCTTTACCTCTCCCTGGTTCGTAGCCAATTCGAAAATTGTTCCATAATCTGGCGCCCTTGTAATAAAGCACTTAGTGATAAATTAGAAAGTCTCCAAAAGAGAGCTATTAAATGGATTCTGTCTGAAGTGGGCCGCAGTTATCCACCTGAGCAATATGTCAAAAAGTGCAGGCTTGTCGACATTCTCCCTTTGTCTCAAAAGTTTGACTTGAATGATCTTATTTTTTTCCACAAAGTTCTTAACAATTTAATTCCTGTATCGCTGCCTCACTATCTCTCTTTATATCAGGGCACTTCTCGACTAAGACGTTGCCACCTCGACAGTCTGTCTATTGTGTCATCAATTTTACCTAAGTTAAGTCAGAATTCACACACCACATGTACCTCAAATAGCCCACTGGCAAAATCATTTTTCTACAGAACCCATATACTGTGGAATGGACTCCCTTTACAGGTAAGACAGATTGTGTCTACTAGTCTTTTCAAAGCTGAGGTCACTAAGCATCTCTGGAAATGTTTATTGGATAGTGAAACAACAGTCTAGCCTAGTCTCTTTGCTCCCCATATTATTATTATTTTTGTTTTATTAATTTTTTTTATCTACCTTCCTATACTTTCAACATCATATCACACTTCACCCGCACACCTTCTCACACATTAATGACCATTTCAGACCTGTATCTAATGTATCTGGAATTTGACGTATTGAAATACCAATTTTGACTCTATATCCACAGTTATTCACTATGGATTTGTTTGTTATTAAATAGTTTTTCATAAATTTTTGGATTTAGATTAATTCGATGTAATGGGTCCAAGTTACTGCGGACATAGTTCACTATGTGTTTACCGTGTTTGGGTGCCCATCATATTTTACAGATGGGGGCGATATTTTGAACGATTTTTTATATTCATCTATTGCTGTACTCTGTAAAATTTGAAAAGTATTTAATTTAAAAAAAATATCAGAAGCGTGAAGTTATACGCGAATCAAACATCATTTTCGGCATATTTGACGGCCACTGAATTATCTATAATTATGCAAATGCCTAAGTGCTCAACTAATGTTAATTAGGAGCAAGTACACGTAAATTAGGTGAATTAGTCCTAACTTTTCAAATCTGTCTTAATAGACCGCTCGTTAAGACAGTGGTATCAGGATATATTGTTTAACGAATCAATATTTGGGCTGAAAATTAGTTCAGCCATTAAATGAGCCCTCCTGTCGATGTAGAGGCACAATTATTCAGACTTAGAATTGGATCATGAATAAGCTCAATACAAGCATTGAGCTTCAGATTATTCTGGAATACATGCAGTTATGGAGGAATGTTTGGGATAATGTTTACTTTACACTTATGTAAATTTATGATGGATATTCAAATATCCTAACGTTACAACTACATAATATGACGGTGGACTGTGGAGTGTAGTTGAAACTCAAGATCAAAGTTGACTCTTAAGTTGCATGCATCATTAGAGAACCCGCAACTATTTGTTTATGTTTAACTAAGGGAAGTTGGGACAAATATATAAGCAAATTCTTCAGAACTTTCCTTAATATTCTCCATACTGAAGTCGTCAATAACTTCAGCTAAAACTTTATTTATAAATAATACAAATAATAATCTAACTATAGTTATAGCCTGTGATAATGTCCGACGAAATGGATATATCCGTGAAATCACCTTCCTCCTCTGCACCTAATTCTTCCGGATCCACTCGTGGACTAAACAGGATTACCTCCTTGTCTCGCTGGCGGTACTGATAAAGATCGGTGACGGAGTTGAGGCTTACCTTCCCGGAGTCATCACACAGAAAGTGTCATGTGAACTTGGTGTATCGTACTTTCAAGAGGGACTCCTCGCTGTGATTCTTTATCTGGCTTGGGTAATCGCAGTCATGATGTCAGTTCCGATTTCAAAGGGATTAGGAGAAAGATTCACATTGCTTTTGTCTCTCTATTTGTCCATTGGCTTTGCTATCCTATGTGCAGTGGTTCCTAATTATAATACTCTTCTTCTCTCCAGAGCTTTAACTGGTATCTGCGTTGGATTGAACGATTGTACAACTGGGTTATTCGCCGCCAAACTCGTTTCTTCTAAAGAAATTCTCATTCAATGCTCTTTTCTTTCAGGAGCACTTAGTTTTGCACCTGGAGGAACTTGGGTGTCGTTCCTAGGGTGGCTGATTCTAGACAGGGTAGTGAACTGGAGAGTCTTCATTTTGCTGACCACTATCCCACTATTTTTTCCTCCCATTATCATGCTCCATTTCTTTATACTTGGAAAATCGGAGGAAACTGAAGAAGGAGAAAGCGAGTCTGTGGCTGAGACCAATATTGTTCCAGCTGAAACTGATGAGTGATGGCCTTGTTGAGAAAAAACCAAAAAATATCCATAATTTCAATTATACCGAAAGGGTCGCCAAAGCAAGTATATTTCTCTTCTCCAACATGTGTGCTGGATATGGATCCATCATTCTTGTTCCATGGCTGATGAGAAGCTATAATAAAGGTGTTCATCACGACACTGAAGGAGCTGAGTGTGAGCAAGTGGTGCAAGGTAATGCATTCTGGCTGCAGTTACTACCAAACTCTTAGGCCGACCAATAGGATATTTTCTGTGGAAACGTGTAAATTTCTTGATCCTGCAATCTACAATCATAGTCACAATAGCTCTAAGTTACAGTGTTATTCTAGCCAATCCTGGTTTCATAGCTTCAATGATTCTGCTAGGAATGGCAAAGTTGTGTTAGTCTTTACAGGCTGCAGAAACTGCTATTATAATAAGCTACGATTACGATTACTATGGAATATCGGGATTTGAGTTGGGGAGTAGCATTACCATGGCGTCTGGAATGCTAGGAAGTATGGTGGGAATATCTCTAGCTGCCTTCCTGGATCCTCACACTGCGGTTTTGATCACCTTAGTGATAGTGTGTGTTGAGCTTGTTGCCATCTGTTTCATGAGAGAACGATTTTAATGACTCTCAGGATGTTTTAGAGACAAGTGATGAATACTTTATTGAATATATTATATTGAAATTATCGTATCAATTATTTTCGGGGCTTCTTTATTGCACTACCATTGTGCCTTAAGAAATTAAGAAATTATGATGCCAGTACTTTTTACCATATTGACTTAGTTTTACGAACTTAATTCTGATTCTACAATGATTCTGAAAATTTCCTGCAAAAATATTAAAAGTTGTTTGAGTTTTATTGTTTTGTGGAAATGAGTATTCCAATTATCGCGAACTCTTGTTCACACACACACACACACACCCCACACACACACACCCCACACACACACACACACACACACACACACACACCCCCCCCCCACACACACACACACCCCCCCCCCACACACACACACCCCCCCCCACACACACACACACACACACACACACACACACACACACACACACACACACACACACACACACACACACACACACACACACACACACACACACACACACACACACACACACACACACACACACACACACACACACACACACACACACACACACACACACACACACACACACACACACACACACACACACACACACACACACACACACACACACACACACACACACACACACCGTATATACTGTACTGGGAACTCTACGAAATGCAGCTAAGTGTCCAGTACACTACTGATAACACAACTCACCCTGTACACCCGACCCATCAATCAAAACACGGGAGAGGAATTATAACGCATATATTATGTGTAATATTATTTATGTGGTGTTATGTGTGTACTGTGTACTATGTGTTGTTGTTATAATGGCAGATTGCCTGGTGCAAATTGCCTGGTGTAAAGTGTTATTTTCGTGGTATGCCAGCTTTCATTTCCTGACTTGATTAGGATACTTGAGATAATTGAAGTATTGATGTTTTGCTAATCGAAAATGGTCAGCTTGAAATTGAGCAAGGAAATTTAAAAAAAGATAACTTTCAGCTACAAAATCTTCGGTGTCAACACTTTTTTTCGTTCCGCCATTTTTAGATTGTAGATAATAATATCTCGTCTCAAGTAACAGCTTATAATGGTGATAATGATGGTACATTTAGTGAAATGTGGAATGTAACTGTGAAATGTAACTAAATCTTCTCGTGAGTAGCGAGTGGTATAAAGTTCTATCTGAGTATACACTAGGAAATATTTCGAACTGATAGTCGAGACATTGTTGATTATTGTTATCTTCAGAATTGTTATTACTTAAAAGTACATCTTCGCTGGGTATATTTTAATGTCGAAGCGTGTAATAAATGTTAGAATCTACTTATTTATTTTAATATTCAGGACGTAACATACGTTAAAATGACGGCTCCGTAATGTTTCATCAAGCTTTACAAAGCTGACTTAGCGTCAAGCGTAACAGCCTACTACTACACCATTAAATACAACGGTATGCAATGTGGCATGTTCCAGCACATATTTGAGGCGAGAAAAATTAGGGCGTTTTCTGGCATTTAGCTCGGCCAGACGTCACGGGCTCTCGCCATTAACCCTAACAGCACACACGGGTGGTGAGTAGATAATTTGGGCTGGAGTTTATCGTTAACACCAGTAAGTGTTACTACGCGCACATATTTTACATTTCTACATTTTGTGTGGGGTATTTACCGGTTAATCGGTGGAAAGAGTAAACGGAACATTATTTCCGTGTTCTGAAGATTGAGCCAAGTGGTGGTTGGATTTGTCGGTGTGTGACGTCATAGTCACGTGGCGTATGTGCAGTGAGCCGTGAGCTCTGGTGACGTCATGGTCACGTGACATCAGCAATGATCCGCTAATAACTGTACTAAACTTAAACTAAAGGAGTAATTTTTCCGTATAAAATATTTCACCAAAAATAACATTAAGAGTTAAATTTCAAAGTTGAAATATAAAGGTAAGTTATAAAAGTTACTACCTTACGAGACATATTTAAATGGTACGAAAGTCGGTGGTTTTTCGAAAAAAACACCGTATTTTCGGACTACCAAAATTTAGATCACCATCATTATTTTCCCCAAATTATTTTTCACGTATTTTCCTTAATTATGACTTTATCGATTTACTATCAACTTATCAATATAGTAAGTTATAAATATGATTCATCAAACAATTAATGAATACTAGTATTCGATCATGAATTGCTTTAAAAATGATTTTGGACACGTTCCATTAAAAATAAGTAAGCTCTGTCGTCACTACTTTATTGGCCACGGCGGTGAAATTTCGGGATTAGTGGAAGATAACAAACACTGTCGGTTTCCTATACCCTCTGAAGGATTATAAGTTAAGTTGAGGCTAAATTTCAAAGGCTCCGGAGAAATTGTTTACAAGATGGAACAGCTGATCAGAGAAGATGTTTGTATTTAATTTTCTCAGATATTGGGTTTCATTTTTGTAAAATAAGGAGATATTTTATACCATGATTTAATTTGGGGTACGAAATGTGGTGGTTTTCGGTGAAAATTCCCATATTTTCGTTTCCAAATCATTTAGGTCACCGGAATTATGTCGAACATAAATATGTTTCGTAAGGTAATCGTTATCACGAGGCTTGCCAGAACATTCCCCCCTCCCTATACACCAATATTAAATAATATATTTGATCGCTAAACTACGATAAGATTTTAATTTGATCACGAACAGTACTACTATAGCTACAATTTGAAAAGAAAACTAAAGTTTTAAAAGATTATAATTTGATCACATATCATACTGAACTGGTCTCTACAGCTAAAACTTGAAAAGAGTACAGTATGCTGTACATGTGCTAAAACTTGAGAAGATTATAATTTGATCAGTGATCACATACAATACTGATAAATATATATTATATAGCTAAAACTTGAAAATAGTACACGATGCGCAAAAATTTGAGAAGATAATAATATTTCAATAATGATCTCACCTCACCACCCCTGACATAATCCATCACAAAACACAGCCGGTCTTCAGTCTGGAACGAGTAGTGTAATCTCTGAAGTAAGCAGCAGGTTTAGTATCATATGACATGCTCTAATTAAAGTTAAAGATTTATATATAATATGCAAACATTATTGCATGGTTATTATGTGGTATATGCAGATTTTATGTGGATATATTTTGGATATATTTTAGATATCTATAGTGTGTGATGTCTCTTGTGTGTTTCTATTATTGTATGGCTGTTAATTAAGTGTTAGTTGTGATGAGTTTATACTTGTTTATACACGAAATTGTCAACAAGCGCTTACAATAACAAACAACACGGAGCTTTGATAGAAACTGCCAGGTTCAATTATAATTGATTTGGTTTATTTTTATCAGGGATCAGAATGTTGAGAAAAATCTAATTTAAAATTGTTTTTAGAATGCGCATAAGATTTTACGTAGTTATTGAGTTTTGGCTTGAATCACTAAATCTCGAGAGATGTGGAATTATAGCAGAAATAATGATAAAAGGATAATGGAAGTGAATACTGACTGCTAACAGTAACAGTAAGGAAAGGAAAATTTAGAGTGAAGAAAGAATATGAGAACTTACAGTGAAGAAAGAAGATAAGAAATTACAGTGAAGAAAGAAGATAAGAACTTACAGTGAAGAAAGAAGATGAGAACTTACAGTGAAGAAAGAAGATAAGAAATTACAGTGAAGAAAGAAGATAAGAACTTACAGTGAAGAAAGAAGATAAGAACTTACAGTAAGGAAATGAGATGAATACTTACAGTAAGGAAAGGATGTTGGCTCATTCTCAAAACCCGCCCTTCCGTCATTGTATGGGCTATTTCCTCCTTCTGTATCACCACATCTTTCCGCAGAACTTTAATAGCGAAAATGTTACTGGTCGCCTTCTCACGAGCCAGAAATACCTACGAGGGGAAGTACAGGGATGAAGATATATGAGGTTTTGATCAATTTCTCAAATAGGTATGTACAAATATTTACGTTTGTAAAGAATGTTACAGATTTAAACCACTTGATTTTTAAGCGGAAGAACCTGTAATTCTTATCTTGTTATATAAGTACTGTATTTAAAGTATTGAAAGCTGTTTTCAATTTCAATTTGAATGAGTAGATCTGACCTTTCCAAAGGTTCCCTTGCCCAAAACTTTGAGCATCTCGAAATCTTCAAGTTTCCTCTTTACGTTAGTCTGACATCCTAAACTTTCCTCCAGCAGACTGTTTTCTTGGTCTATACTCTTGTGGGTAGTAAGTTTGAGAGCTTCCGTTGTTTCACTGATAACCTGCGTCATTGAAAAGTTAGTACCCACAAGCCGAAAAATCGAGTCTAATTCGAAAACGAAAATCATAGTGGGGTTAAGCAGCATTTTGCAGTTGCCTCATTGGCCTTTAGGCTGCAATACGCGGGAAAATGCCGGTAACCTTCATCTCTCCACTTTTGATCCGGCTTATGGATCACAATCAAGAATGACTTAAACTAATCATCAAGTTGTGATACTCAAATCATTAGCAGTAAACCAGAAGTTAGACCAGATGAGGTCACACCTTGATTAAGAGTGACAACATTAGCTCTGGTTGTTGTCTGGTTATTATAACCAGAGTGTGTGTAATTAGAGAGCCACTGAACTGTAACTTCAAGAATACGACAGATGATGACAATTGGGATATGAACTTGTCTGGCTAAACAGCAGAGTTAGTTTCGAAAGTTAAGCAGTGCCAGCGGTGGTATTATATGGTAAATTTATAAAGTAGTATAGAAATATTGATAAATACATTAGTTACTTATCTAATTATGAGAAATTTATATATAAATTAATTAATTATAGTTTACCTTGACCCACTCATCTCGATCGGACTTTGTCTCAGAACTGAACCTTCTCTCAACAAAGGTTTCGTATTGTAAACACCTATTGTTTAATGAATAAACTTTCAAAATGTTATACAAATACATCATTAAAGAAAAATCGCTGAATGACCTTACAATGTAAGGTCACCTTACATGCCTTGACAAGTGACCGAGTGTAAACAAAATTAGGGACACCGAAACACCAGTTGAAACACCAGTATATAATGTTGAGAATGGGAGTATATTTGTTAGATATTTTCTAACTTTAAAGGACCAGTTAACTGAAAAATTTGTAGTCTCCAATTTGGCTCAGATTTAAATCAGCTGTGACAAACTGGTAAAGAATCGTATCGCCGAAAGAACCAACTCTCTAGCGTACGTGTAACGCGTGTTATTGCAATAATAAGCTGTGGCCTCGTGACGTCACGAAGTCCCTCAGTGCGCGCTGGCATAGCGTAATACGTTGCAAATGTTTATCGTTGTCATTAAAACACGTGTTACTCACTCAAATTTTAGAATTATGACTATTACCCGAGTTCTCCAAAATCCTTATAGTTTTGGCTATCATCCTAACTAAAGGAATAGCTGATTGGATGTACAGTGCTCACGTCATGATTTTAAACAGTGATATAGGTTCTTGGACAGATGCGGGTGAATGTACGGTCAGAAAGTTTCTGCTATTACAGTTCTTATGTCATATGTGATAATTTTGGATTGTTTTCATTGCTTAATTACACAAGCAGGGAGACTGTACCGATTATTTTTCCCCAGTCCATGAAACTCTAACGAATTTAAAAGGATCTAGATAAGTAGGAGCTAGTTTGTTCAATTCCGAGAGCAATTATATTTATAGCATAGCGAAATTTCTAACTTTAATCTGCATGTGTCAGCCAGTACAGGAGACAAGAAGTCTGGCTGCTTTACGGCCGTTCCTCTGGGACCATTAGTAGAAGTAGCTTCTATCAGAACAGTGCCGTGGGAACAGAATTCCCGCCAAAATACCCGGTCTACCAAATAGTAATAGTGATTAGAGTGTACGGTGTGCGGTGTGTTACAGTTTTGAATTATACTTCGGCTTACCTAGTTGTTATCCTAATTGCATTATCATCGGTACATAACATAAATAAACTACTGGTAAGTTTAAATACCAAGTGCAAACGTGTTCAGTCAATCGACCCACTGAACAAATATAGAATTTCCAAGATCCTATTATTTTTTGGCCATATATTAATACGGCACGATCGATTGTTAGATGGTTAAACGACCAACGTTAATCTATACAATTCTAAAACTATGAGCTAGCACTTTAATCTAAAAATACACTTTTTATATTACTCCTGATTTTTACATTTCACGTAAAACATTGTCGCCACAGGTTGATCATGGACACTAACAGCTTAATTTGAGATAAATGACTATGAGTTTCTCTAAAGTTAACTCTAAAGTTGTGTAATCCAGTCATTTATGGACATTTATGGAAATGAACCTGCAAATGTTCAGATACTCACGAAACTTTGCACAGACCTTCCCGAAGGTATGAATAAACGATTTTCGTTTGGAGACATTTTTGTTGACAGTGGAGAAAACCCAGGAGGGCCACGCCCATATTGACCCAATAACGTAACCGACCCCTTGCTTCTGAAGGTCGTAGAGACTTCAAAATAGGCTTAAACGAAGCCACATATGCATGTTTATATAGGAGTTATTGAGCAACACATGGCCTAAAATCCTTACTTTTCGAGAAATTCGCCAAAAACCATTTTGGGCGTGTTGCTGAGCCCATTTTCGATAGGATCGTGATAGAGTCTTTAGACAAGGTGCAAAAGAACCGCAATTAGCATATTAATATATGACTTACGAACAAACATATGCCTTAAATTGCTTACTTTTTCAGTTATTGGCGAAAAACTGATTTTCGGTTCCAGAAATCATGCAAAACTATGGGTATCTGGTAAATTGGGCTATGAAGGCCCTAAAGGTTTTTGAATGTGTGCAAATTGTGCAGAATGGCCATGTTTATATACAACTTATGAAGCAACATGTACCCTAAATTACTTACTTTTCGAGTTATTCGGGGAAAAACATTGTATTATGTCCATTTTCTACCTGTAAAATACATTCTCACGAGCTCCTCTGCGCGCGCAAGGGACTTCGTGACGTCATCGCCAAAATAATACAAACGCTATTTACACGCGTTAGAGAGCAGTTAGAGATTTAGGAATTTCGACTCGTTGCTTAGTTTGCTATTTGTCACAATCTGTCAAAATATGAGTATAACTTTTTTTTCAGTTAACTGGTCCTTTAACCTTGCTAAGGTTGTCCTAAATTCAACTAAATAGTAATTCGTTATATCCCTAAGGCTAACCTCCTCCATCGGCCGTCCACTTTTGTGTTTGTGTGGTACCCAATTTTGGCCACATAAGGTACAGCCTTTTAGCTTGCAGACAATATAAACATTATATTATATGAGATACTCTATCTCAAATTACCTGACAGTAAATTTTTGGAACTTCTTGGATGCATTTGGGTCAATCATGACTTCACACTCTGAAAAGATTAAGTTATTATATAAGTATGTCAATCTCGATTATAAGTACGATCTGTGGGATTGCATATTATTTACTGAATAAACAGTTGATGGACTTTGATAAATAAAGCCATTTATTACAACAACAAATTAAAAAGTTAAAGAGTTATATTATTATATAGTTTGGTATGTAAAGCCATCAAATTTCCACCATGAGAAAGTACAATAATTATTGAAATTAGAGGAATGAAGGTTTTCGGATGACAAGCAAATGCAGTAAAACTACAGCACATTATAAACCGTCCGCGTCAGGAGAATATTTCGGATCAGATTCTATAATTTGCATAAGAGTGAGAAGATCTCATCTACTCAAACAAGCACCCAACCTTTGACAGAAAAGTCGTTTTCAGGCATTTCAAGACTCTTTGGAGATGGTTGTTGCTTGTATCCTCTGAACTGTCCATCATCTGTCAATATAAAGTAACGCCTTCTGTAGTTCTTTATGTACTCTCCTGAAATTGAATGGAATCAGTAATGTAATACTTCTAGAGGAGTATTAAGAGTTGATCTACAATAATGATGAGGATTATTTGTGCAATTTTGTACGAATGAAAACTATTAACTAACCTCGTTTAAACAGCCATCCTTCCTTGATTACGTTGCTCATTTCTACTTAAAGGTAAATATGGTTATAAATATATCATTCACACTTAACTGAAATTTAATTCAAGTAAGTACAGATAAATTACACAAATCACTGTATTAATATACAAATTTTCATCAGTGCAGCAGTTGCATGTGGGTCAAGCGCGATGCCACGCCGTGCCTAAGCAGCAAAAGACTTATAAATAAAATTTTTTAACATACTCTGTTCTGCCAATCAGTTCTGACTGTTGACATTCTTTAAATTTGATAAAATTTATTTTTGTATCTCAAAAATGATGTTGAGATTTTGATATGACATAGAATTATACTTATTCCCGTACAGCCTAAGTATGCGCGTTTGGAGAACTATGAACATGCTAGCTTTTTTATTTTGTTAGTCGGGCGACATCGTGGGTTGCAATGAGCTGGACCTAACAAGTTTTTTATATCGGATGTCTACTTATATTTATTATGATATCATTATTTATTGTAATGGCAACAAAATTAAAATTTTGTTTTACCTAAATTTTGTTATACTTAGTTTCATGGTTAAGTCTGCTTGAGTCTGTGTTGGACCTGATTTTGTCAGTAGTAGTGTCGAGATTTGAACATAATCTGGTCTGAACCTCTATATATCATGCAATATGACTAAAAATTGAATCAACATTGTTATTTTTAATGTATCTAATACATTTTTTGGAGGAGATCGGGGAGAAACCTCACTTCGAAGCGACTAGAGTCGGTTGGAAGAGGCCATGTAGTACGGCTATCCGACCAGTCAAGATCACCGTCCCAAGCTCAACAGCGGTTCATCAGATTCTGATGAAAACAGGGAGACTGAGGGAGACGCACAAAGATGTATGGATATGTCCAGACAGATCCAGTGAAGAACGAGCAACAAGGAAGCATCTGGTCACTGACCTGAAGAAGAAGAGGGCGGAACAGACTCATCTCGACCACTACATCCGGTACGGGAAGGTATGTAGCCGTGATAAGAAGTCATCATGAGTTACACTCTCGGACACTGATCAGTATATGAAGGAGTGATGATTATTTTAAGAATTTCAGACGTTATCTGTATTTAAGAGACAACTATATATTTTGAATATTTTATTATTTGATTGTTTCACACTTATCATATTTCATAATTTTATTACTAGGTGGAGGTGATGTTATTGAGACTTTGGGCGGCCATAAAACTCCTGTTTTGAAAGTTGTCCTCTGTACTTGTTTCACTGACCCACGCTTTATAGCATTTATACATTTCGGCCCATTTTATATGTTTGTTCGACTTGCTGTACATTTGTATATTTGCTATTTTGTAAAAGTTTCAAATCAAATCAAAATCAAATCATCACAATAACCAAATATTTAATCTCATGTGGGATTCACTCCGTCTGATCTCATTCCATCTAATGAATCATGTGACTGTTGACATTACTATTGGTATTATGAAATAAAATAAGTATTTATATCCTGCTCATATGATTAACCAACAACACAAGGAAGGTGGTTAACCATGTCAGAGCGGCTGACTGTGAGTGATGTGAGCAAATGTGTAAAAGTGAACAAAGTATAACTCATCATAAGGCAAAGACAAAATTAAAACATACTGTATTGTAAACCACACTAAACTAAATAGTCCTAATATCAACAAAAAGCAGCACACAAAAAGCATTCATTAGGAGAGTCGAATTTCTTTGGAGACAAAATGAATCTCTCCAGGACTTCTAGCCAACTAGAAATATTAGAAAATAAAGACTCTGCAAACATCTCAGAGAACTGATACCACCTTAAACTCTTAAAGAATAAAGAGGGATGATCCTGGACCCCGAAATCCACCACATTGCTGTGCTTTCAGAGGTACCAATGTGGCAGGAAACCAGGGCTCATGCTGCCGCTGAGCTAAAGCAGTAGAGGGGAGGCGGCTTCTCTGGGATCTTTCACATCCTGAAGCAGACCAACACTATGTCCCAACACACTGGTGTTGGGATGTCTGCCCCCGGGTCAATAAAGTAGTCAAGCATCATGATGCTATAACGTTAAGCATTCACAACCAGCAGATGTGGGAACTCCCACGAAGGACCGATTCAGATCTAAAGAGACAAATTGCACAATCGGAAAGTAGACTTGAATTTTTTTATGTAATTTATAAAGAGTATGTTATTGCCCACGTTAAGGGGCCTGTTAATAATTAACTAAATTATTAGCTATTTTAGATTTAATAATAATAATCCAAGAATATTTATCAGCACTTAGCACTATTAATATGAGTTTCACAGCACTAATAATAAGAGTTTCAAATTGAACTGGAATTGGGCTGTGCAGCCACACAAAACACGATAGTCTTCATATTGTGTGCAAAGAGATCTGAATATAATAATAATAATATATCCATCGACATAACTTTGGTCAAAGTATGTAGTATACATAAATCAAAGTTCTGAACGTGTACGTGCAAAAATTACATACAATATAATATATCGTCAAATACAATCATTACCATTTTGTAGCTTGTATAATGTTGTAGAATGCAGGTCTATGTTAATTGTTATAGTGGTAGCCAGTGGCGTAACGTTGCCTGTTGGCGCCCCCCCCCCCCCCGAAAAAGCGCCCCCTGTTGGCACCCCTCCCCTTTTGGTGCCCCTCTCTTAAATCGAACAAATTAGAATTAGGTGATTTTAGAGGATACGCCGGTAAAATCTTTTAAAAAGTGTGTATCTAGAGCAAAACGCGCAAAGCGCGCGCCGCCGATATTAGGGATACGTAACATGTATCAACGCCCCCCTAAAACGGCGCCCCCTGTTAACCGGTGATACTCGTAAAATATTTGTTCCAAACTCAGCGCGCGTCCTGGTAGGTTATAAACCTACAACCCCCACACTCCACAGTGGGGTCAGCGGGGCCCTTCGTTCGGATCGTGTTACGCCACCGATGGTAGCGTGAATCAATTGTTGATTTTCTACAATAATTGTTGTTGCGCGATGCACTGCTGGGTCGCGCGCGCATCAAATAATGCTTCTCGCAACCACTTCGGTAGATCGGCGAAATGCACCACTGTGCCTCACCGAGCTGCGAAGGATTGACATCGTGAATCAACAATAATTGTTTAAAATGTTTAAAAAATAATTGCGTTGATTGCGTCAATAGTTTGAAAATTAGTCGGGGCGCGCCGCGCGCGCGTTTTAGGTATTTGTAAACCTACAATAATCAATATAAAAAATACAGCAAAAAATCATTGTTGTGAGCACGGTGCTATGTATAAATAGTGCATTGCGTTACATGACATTAAGGTTAACAAAAATTTTCAATATCACAGTTTTTCTCATAATCAATTTTTGTGACCGTTTACCGAAACTTTACTATACCGGGTTAATTGACGATGTTAATTCATCGCAGCTCGGCGCGGCATAGTAGCGCATTTCGCCGATCTAGCGAGAGAGTTGATTCACGATGTCAATCCTTCGCAGCTCGGTGAGGCACAGTGGTGCATCTCGCCGATCTGGTTGCGAGAAGCATTATTTGATGCGCGCGCGACCCAGTAGTGCATCGCGCTACAACATCAGACCTTATTAGTTATTTATATTAAAAGTGATCAGTGACCCTGTCAGTGACGAGCTTGGAGCTATATGAAGAAATTATTGGACCTCATCGATGCTGATCCTATGAGTGACGATTTATGAAGAAATAAGAACCTCATTTAAATCCTAGTTTGACGAAAATATTCCTCGTGACTTTGACTAAAGTTAACTTTTTTCTACCATTACTATTAGACCCCAAACTGTTGGAGAACGAAAAGCACTCCTTCATGCCTAAATTGATGATATGAAGATTTTTACCTGTTAAAAATTGATGAAAAAAATGGGCGTGGTTTGTGGGGGTGGTTCCGGTTGGAGTTGAAGCTTCAAAATTTTTTGACAGTTATTTGGCCTATACTAAGGAACAACAGATAAGCCTATTAACACAATTATTGGATAATATTTTTGTTTTATGAACATGAACCGGGCTAATCCAGATCATGACGCTCAGAATGAGGATAATTGGTAAACTCCTAAGGAGGATCTTAACAACAGTAAACTGAACCATATTTTCAAATTTGTGGAACAGTCGACAAGACTAGATAGGGAAAACTCTTTTGGGTAACCTCCTTGGATTCTTCACCAGGAACTTTCGCTAAATCCCACACTAGGAACTCAACCTAGGCCCATCTCTGCATACAAACATATCTCCCAGGCTTTGACCTCGCTCGGAAGTCCCTTGTCTGCCCGCAGAAGTGCTACAAGTACAACGGAAGTGAACTTGCTCTGAGCCACGTAGCGACAGAGAGAGAGAGAGAGAGAGAGAGAGAGAGAGAGAGAGAGAGAGAGAGAGAGAGAGAGAGAGAGAGAGAGAGAGAGAGAGAGAGAGAGAGAGAGAGAGAGAGAGAGAGAGAGAGAGAGAGAGAGAGAGAGAGAGAGAGAGAGAGAGAGAGAGAGAGAGAGAGAGAGAGAGAGAGAGAGAGAGAGAGAGAGAGAGAGAGAGAGAGAGAGAGAGAGAGAAACGTTCTATACCGGGGTGTTTCTATACCGTAAACTATAAGTGTATCACGAAAACGTCTACCTGGCCTCATGGCTCATTGACAGTTTGAACAAGGCAAGAAAATACCAGAAAGCCTAAAAGGTCAACTCGCTCTTTTCAAAGCTCTTCTATCCGTCCCACATTAATCCCGAGCTGATCATCATGGGCCCCGAATATCCCGCGGAAAGAACCTGTCTTTTTACTTCACGATATCTGGATTCCAAATTAACAATCCTTCCTGATCATGATCTGTCCCGTCGTTTCTAAGCAATTTCAGATAACCTGACTCTCCTGGAACTCATTTAACTGAATTGATTATTACCGTTTCTTTACTAGTACTACCCCTTGCCCGACACTCATATCAAAATCTGACCCTTGCCCTATCTGGGTGCCGTACTGTAGTGCGACACGTACCCTAGTGTTACCTGGGGACCTCAGGCTATTATGTTCATTAACATATATTCCGCCG